TGTATGCGCAGTGCTGAGGAGTCCCATACCAGGACGAAACGGCCGTCCAGTTCTTCCAGGTGTTCTATGATGCTCTAGCTTCAATTGACTCATGATTTCAATCAGTGAAATGGATACTTACTCTATTCGTTTGTCTTCTTTTTTTAAACAGGAAACCAGAATGAACAAATGAAAACAGTCTCAAATTTTTCATTAAAGTATATGTATTCTATAAAGTGCACATTTCATTACAAAAGCATAAATAAATAGATTGTTATATAATGCTTGATTTTGTTTAAATGAACCGTTGCTTTCTCAATAGTGTTGTGTATTGTTAGCTTGATATAAAAACGAATCAAATGATGAAATTACTTTAATAGTTATATTCATAAGTTGATATATGCTAGAGCATCATTGGAAACCTAAAAACACTGGATGACCGTTTCGTCCTTGCATGGAACTCCTCAACAGTGTGCATACACGATCTTATATGCGAGACTTAAACCCAGAACCTTTGATATCGTATTCGAGCGCTTAATCTCTAGATCACTGAGCTGGTATGCAACGATGTTAATGTTTAATAGAAGGTTTAACATTATATCTAATTATAAAACTACATGTAAATTACAATTCTGATAGTATACCGATGACAAGGTATGCAGTTTAATTAACTTTAGCACATGAAGTTTAGGTTTTTGTCTATATTTCTGGAGGAATTTATCGGTACATCTAAATCATACTATAATTGGTGAGCTTTAGTTTAATCAGGATAATGAGTCTCCATCGTCTAAATAGTTCATTTGTACTTACTATATAACTTCTTATTTAGTTACTGTTCTGTTTCTTTAGGCAAATGAATCAGTATACATTAACCATTCAAAAGTTGAGATATCATATTGATAACCATGAGTTTATAACAGCTTTCAAATGTAGAATATTGTGATTTGATCTTCTATTCATCTGTTTACTTGAACACATAATCATTGATACAAGGGGACACCAATGTATACATTTATTTACTTACTTACTTACCTATGACTGTTACCCCTCATCAAGGAGTATAGGCCACTCATCAGCATTTCACATCCAAACCTGTCATGGGCAATCCCTCACAGTTCTTTCTAGTTGTTATTCATCCTTTTCATACCTGATTCCGATTCTCGGCGCAGTGTGTTCTTTGGTCTTCCGCTTTTCCACTTTCACTCACGATTCAATATTAGGGCTTGCTTCATGATGCAGTTTGATGATTTGCGTAATGTATGTCCTATCCACTTCCAACATCTTTCCTAATTTCCTTCTCAACTGCAAGCTGGTTTATCCTCTCCCACAGTAGATTTTTGCTGATGGTAGCCGGTCAACAGATAGTGAGTATTTTGAGTAGACAATTATTTATAAATACTTGTACCTTCTTGATGATGGTTGTAGCAGTTCTCCACGTTTCAGTTCCGTACAATAGAATTAACTTTCTTGACGTTTGTATTGAAGATTGTGACTTTGATATTGATTGAAAGTTGTTTTGAGTTCCAAATGTTCTTCAGTTGTAGGAATGTGACATTTGCTTTGCCAATCCTCCCATTTATATCTGCTTCAAATCCTCCTTGTTCATCAATGATGCTTCGCAGATACGCGAACGTTTCCATGTCTATGAGAGTTTCTCCAAGTGTAATTGTGTTGGTGTTTTGCATGTTGTATTTTGAAATATTACTTTTTTCTTTAAGTCTGCTAAGGCCTACTAATGCAGAGTCTGCTATTACACCAGTTTTCTTCATCTGTATAAGATAGAAAGGCCACGTCATCTGTAATGTCCAAATCGTCTAGTTACATCCAACTTGTCTATTTTATTCCATGCTTAATGTCAAATATGGAGGTTTTCATAATCCAGTCGACCACCAGAAGAAAACGAAAGGTGGGGGGGAACGATAGACAGCCTTGTTTGATTCCGATCCAAATCAATGTTAGACAGAAGTCAACTTAACTAACATTGTAACATGACTTTATCATATATCGTCCATTCTATTCTTATTTGAATACTATCATAATGATAATGTCTATGTTGATTCATTCAAGTTCATACACTTCACCTTATCGCTTGAGTAAATGGATTTTAATACCATAGTTTGTAAACAGTTATTTCACTTCAATTCAGCTTTACAATACTGACAGCAAGTAGTAATCTGAACTGAATCTGTACTTATGAATATTAATTGGAATAAATAGGTGAGAAAGAACGCATATTTTCGAGATTATGTATCATAGTTGTATTATACAAATGATCCCTTACTCATCAACATCATGTATCTCTAATCCTTTTCGGTTATTTGAGTACTATAAATTCAATAGTAATATGATCACTAGTTTAACTAATGAGGATACCTTGTACAATACATTGAGAAATCGATTAGTTTGTAGTGAATAACAAGAAAGTTTAGTATCATGTTCTGTGTTATTCAATTGTCATTAGTAAGGTGTATCTGTATTCGTAAGGTAAAAATATAGACCTAGGACTGAACTGATCAACAAGCATCATTTCACTCAACATTAATACAAAACATTGATCCAAAGTTCAGCATCAACTATTTTCAACCAACTAACAAACTTGTAATTTACTTATAATAGTTATGAAACAATATTAAGAATCTGTTAAAGGTTATAGAACATATATTCTAGAATGATCTTAAAACACAGCAGTAATCATTTGGTAACAAGTACTTAACGACACGTAATCATAATAAGTGTTATATTCTGTACTATTTACTAGTAGATTTTAGTCATCGTGTTCGTTAGAAAAGTTGTTAGTAGTTACAATTGATTGATCACTGGGTGGTGATCAATTCATGCTTGTATGGTCCTTATTAGTGCGCATCGAATACTATCGATCATGTTGCAATGTGGCCACCAGTCTAGGTGACTCGATACTGCAGGCACTATATGTTGAGATTTAGATGGTGGTTAGAGGTAGTCAACAGGAAACTCTGGACACGGGTTTGTGCTACTTGGCACTCGTCAGCAAGGTGTACCTGTAATCTTGAGTGAACTGGTGCTCCCTGGCGGATTTGATCTCGTGTCACCCAGCTTCACAGTTATTGGTAGTATTTGTTAATAGTATATATCAGTAATATCTAATAGTAGTATGTATGTAATGATACTTATTTATTAGTTCTGCATATTGATGGTATTCATTCGTAGTATTTGTATGTATTCCTTTATTAGTAGTATATACTACTAGTTAGTTGTCAGTAGTATCTTCAAGTCGTATATATTCATTTAGATTCATTTCTAAATATCGTATATGAGTATTGATCTAGTACTATTTATTTACCAATTATAATCATCGATGTTTATTTACTAGCCTGAAGTTTGTGCTGATGATGAAAGCTCCACGACTAAAGCATCCAGCTCAGGGAACAAAACTCCATCGAAAGTATTTATTAGTACTTACATACTTATTTTGGCCTGTTATTCCCGATGGAGAATAGGTCACTGACTAGCATTCTCCAACCCAATCTGTCCTGGGCCTAACCTCATAATTCTATCCGATTGTTGTTCATTCTTCTCATGTCTGTCTCCATTTCTCGGCGTATTATGTTCTTCTTTGATCTTACTCTTCTCCTTTAGCCTTGAGGATTACAAGTGTGAGCTTGCCTTGTGACGTAGTTGGGTGCTTGCCTCAATGTGTGTCCTATCCACTTCCAACGCTTCTTCCTCATTTCTTCCATCACTGGAATCTGGTTTGTTTTCTTCCACAGTAGATTTTTCGCTGATAGTGTTTGGCTGACGGATCCGAAGTATTTTGCATAGGCAACTGTTAATAAACACCTGTATACTCTGTATGATAACTATCGTAGTTCTTCAAGTTTCCACCCCACACAGTAGTAGTATCTATAAATGCTACCAATTTATAATTTTTACACTAAAGTAATTACTCATCAATAGTACTCATTAGTATCTATTTACTAGTAGTATTAATATATATTTACATTCTGTGTCATTCTTTGCAAATTCTGTCGTTTTTCAGCAGTGTTTGTCAGTTTTATTTTTCTGTATTTTTTTCTGGAAGTTTTTTTAAAAATAATTCCCTTTTTTTATAAGTAAAGATGGATAATGGCTAGCATTGGAATTCAGGACATATGTTTCGTCTTATTTGGGACTCGTCAGCTGGGTGTACTTATATCTCAGAGTTGATGTTCACTTCGGGACTCGATTCCAGTACTAGTCGCTTCAAACGTCATCGCGTTATTCACTTACCTACTGACCAGCCTCAAATAGGGTGAAACTCATGCCCTGGATTCCACTGCTAACCACTATCCATCTTGCTTATAAAAGCTTGTGAATTAAGGCAATATCGAGGCAATACGTAGAGTATGCACATATGTCAATAAGAGACTGATCAATTGTAGTCCTAAATATCAATGGGAAGATTCAACTAAACAATATCAAGTGGGAAAGGGTTTTGTGGAGATTTTAGTAATTTCAATCGTTGAAATCATGAGTCAAGTAAAGCTAGACCATCATGGAAAACATGGGAGCACTGGCTGGCCGTTTCATCGCAGTATTCGACTCCTCAGCAGTGCGTTTCCACGATTCCGCCTCGCAAGATTTGAGCCTAGGATCAAGGCCTTCCAGTGCTTTCAGTTATTCTATGGTGGTCTAGCTTCATTTAACTCATGATCTCAACTATGAAAATTACTTTTTCTGTTGGACATATTTCACTACTTATAAGTAGTTCAATATTTAAATCTAAATTCATTCAAAATTCACTTGGTGTTGCTTTACTTGTATCTTCCTATTGTTGTTTAAGATTGCAGTTGATCAGTCTCTTATTGGCATATGTATATCCTCTACAGATTGCCTCGATATTATCCTAAGTCACAAACAAGTCATAGGCAAAGATGGATAGTGACGCAGTGAAATCTAGTTTGATACACGTTTCGTCCTATTTAGGACTCGTCGTCAGTTAGATGTACCTACCTACAACCCGTAGTTGATATTCACTCCGGGACTCGAACCCAGTACCATTCATTCACTCAATTATTATTATTACTATTGAAATTAGTATATCCTTTTGATACGGTTTAAAACAACACATCAAAGAAATAATACATTTCTCTTTATAAAATGGACAATAGTAAACTTGATTAGATCATGGAAATTCCAGGAAAAACAAACAAACAAACAAATGGAGACCATCTTTTTGTACTTTTTTTAAAAAGTTCATAAAGTTGATTGAGTTATTCATTAAATCAATTGAATACTGTTTGTAAATTTTGAGAATGTAGTCAACATTTTCATTCGTGTTTAATGTAATAAATAGGTAAGATGAATGAGTTCATTATCTTTGAAGTATTTTGAATTAATAGAATGCTCTACGAAGTTCTGCAACATTCTTAAGTATATAATTATGACTTGTACGTAGATTACTACTATGTGATACTTCAACCCATTTACATTGTTCTTCTGTACCAGGTTCATTGAGTAACTATGGGAAAAGAACAAAGAAAAAAAAGTTGATTAAGATCATGAATCGATTGATGTTAGCCCCCGAATGCCCTGGTACGGCCGAGAGTGGGAAGAGTCCGCTCTTGTTCTACAAATGCTCTCACATGGCCACGTGTACATAGCCTCTGACAGGGAAGTCCTACTCACTGCCTTCTCACACCACGGGTGTTGTTTACGAAATCGAGAGGATGAAAAGCGAATGTCCGGTGCTATAACGGAGTTGATGGACATGGAGAGTCCACCTAGGGTAGCTGGAAAATCCTGATTCCAAACCAATAGTGCGCATGTGCTCCAGTATCCTGAAGGAACAAATGGCGTATGAACCAATCGTTGATCACCGGCTACCATGGGAATGCACCTCCCTACGTTGCTCCACTGCCTTGTGGATCAGACCTACATGTCGAAGGCTACAGGTGTGGCCCCTAAGAAAACCCCCTGTTTCGGTCTGGGCACCCGGGCAGTATCACAGCCCTCACACATATCGAATAAGATTTGTGTGGCGCATATGTATTTGTTGCCTCTTGTACCAATATCTGTGTTAAAATAAAATAAATAAATAAATAAGATCACCATTGAAAAACTTGGAAGTACTACACAGTCGTTTTGTCCTATTATGCGACTCTTCTGCAGTGGGCATCCATGATCCCGTTCCGTGGGATTCCAACCCCAGACCGGTTGGTCTCGCACACGGACGCTTAACCTCCAGGCCATTGAGCTGGCATCCAACGGTGTTAATGTCTTACCTCAACCAATCTACGGAATTGAGCGACCATCTTTCATTTTACTGAGGTAGATACCTATCTCTGCTCGACACGGATTGAAGATGCGGTTGATGCCTCATACACTGATATACCGCGAGATTTAAAGATCCTAGCTAAAAAAGCCTATTGTCTTATGTGGTACAAGGTTTTGACATTAAAAGCATCAACATGTAGTTTAGAGTGTGGTTTCAGCAGACCAGGAATAATATTTCGTGAACTCAAATCATTAACATTGATGGTTCGTGATAATAAAGCTGTGAGAAGGTGTATGTATCGGGATACAGAAGATATTAAGAGATTAGAGAGGAATTTGATCGTGAACAAGACGATCTTGGATGTTGTTATAAGTACGATGAAAGTTGTCTTTTTCCGGCTCCTCGCACAACCTATTACATTGATCTGATATACTTCGTCGTCTCATTGAATGGTCTAAACTCTAAAAGGGACAAATTATTTTGAATTTTTTTTATCGAGATCATGAATCGACTGATTTTAGACTATCATGGAAGTCCTAATCATTACCTTCGCACCAGGCGTGTTTTTACTAAATTGAGAGGACGAAAAGCGAATATCCGATACTTTAACCACGTTGGTGGATATGGAGGATCCACCATCTGAAGATAGTTGAGAAACCCTGATTCAAAACCAATGGTGTACATGGCCTCCGCGATCCTGAGGGAACAAATGGCTCAAAAACCTATTGTCGCCTACCGGCTATCATGAAATCACAGCTCTTAACGTTACTCCATTGCTTTATGGATTAGAACTGTAGGCCAAAGTTTCGAGAAATGATCCCTCCCCCTTTAAGTGTGTTGTTTTTATGTTGAATAGATTTTTTTTTGTTTCAAAAGAGAAATCCAATTATAATATAACTTACCTTTAATATGTCATCTGGTAGTTGAGCTCCTTTACTCTCAGATTCATGTAAATTAATCACAACAGTTTCCATCCATGCACTATCCGCATTTAACTGATCATCTAAGTAACCTTTAAAAATCTAAAAATGTTACATAAAAGAGAAATACTTTGAATTTGATTGAACACTTAACAGAAATATAAGAGACTGTTTAGATTGTATTTCCAATGTAGTTCATTGGGAAAGGATGGCTTAGCATGATAAGATGTAATCAAGGGGGGATCATAGAAACAGAAATAAACCAGTTGTGGGGTAGAATGTTTAAGGAGAAGATGAAAGGGGAAGCAGATGGCTAAAAAAGAAGAAGAGTATGAAGAAAAAAGAAGAAAAAAAAGATAACATATTAAGACCATGGTAAAAGAAGAGTTTGTACCAATCTCTATTGAACATACAGTTCTGATTTTCCCAGATATATGACTATTGCTTTGGTAATGCTAAGAAGATGCAGTAGAATTGTCTTTGGAAGACTTCTACTTACCTTGTAGTTGACTTTGAACGCAGAGTTTGTCTTGATTGAATGACTTGTGTATCTGACGTAGACAATTATTTATAAATACTTGTACATTTTGTAGCAGTTCTCCACGTTTCAGTTCCGTACAATAGAATTAAATGTCTTGACGTTTGTATTGAAGATTGTGACTTTGATTTTGGTCTGCAGCTGTTTTGAGTTTCATATATTCTTCACTTGAGGCCCATACTTTGCCAATCCTCGCCTTTGCGTCTGCATTGGATCCTCCTTGTTCATCAATGATGCTTCCTAGATTCGTGAAACTTTTCACTTCTTCCAGAGTTTTTTATCAGGTGTGATTGTGTTGGTGTTCTCCGTGTTGTATTGGAGGACCTTGCTGTTTCCTTTGTGTATGTTGAGGCTTACTGCTGTAGACTCAAGCTGCTTCTGAACCGGATGTCTCTACCTGGATTTGTTTGTGTGTATGGAATAAAACAGCTAGGTCATCTGTGAAGTCCAGGTCTTCTAATTGATTACGATTTGTCTATTGTATTCGTGCTTCTCCCCAAATATCAAAGTCATCATAATCCAATCAACCATTAGAAGAAAGAGAAACGGGGAGCGTAAGCATCCATGACTGAATCCGGTCCTCACTTGGAATGTGCCTGTCAGTTGTCCTCCATGCATGACTTTGCAGTGTAGTCCGTCGTATGAATTCCGGATGATATTGACGATCTTCTCAGGTAAACTATAATGTAAAACGTAACGGTCGATTGACAATAACTTAGTCAGTTGAATTTGAACATATAGAAACAGTTTCATGTATATTTTGAATGATCAAATCTCAAATTTGATGTGAAGATAGTAACTTCTATTACGATCCTATTCTTATTCTAATCACCATATATAGTGTTTGTTAATCATCAGAATTGGATAATACTGCAATTCAATTTACTTCATCTTCATATACGTACCGACCTGAGCATGTTTGATTGCCAGACTGACTGATTAAGATTGTAGAATTTTTGTAGTTGAAATCATGAACTGATCTTAGCTAAACCTATGCCCAATAAGCAATCGATGGCAATCGTACAATATCGTGAATCTGTAGTGGTATTTACCATGTTAAACTCATATAACTTATTCTATCTTCTGAATAGTTCCATTTATCTATTCTTCTTGAGTTACGTTTTGACCTTGTTAACTATTCCTTTATCAACATTGACTGTTTTTATATGAGCGTATGTGTGTACATGTCTTATCTTATTCATCACATTGTCTGTAACTTGTTTTCGTCTGATACACGCTTGATTAAATGGAGTTGGCTTACGTGGGTTTGCCAGTGCGCGCTATTTCATTTCGCTTCGCTTCCTTCGCTACCTCTCTTTGACTGTTTGTTCCTATCAACGAGTGTACAAAATATACGCATTCAATAATCAATTCTTGTATTTGGCTTATTTTAATTCCGTTATTCATTAGCGCAAGTTAAGTCGATGAGTACATACGAGGATTGGCGACATATATATCTCAATAGCAATTAGATACGATCCAACTGTGGTCAGATATAGGATCATTAAAAGTGGTGAGCTCTACTACGAATTCAACTCAGCAAATTAATGTTAGATAATAACACCGTTATGTTCTGGCTTAGTTTGCGCGCAAGACCGAAAGTCCTATGCTTGATTCCTATATGCGAGGTCATAGATGATCATTGTTGACTTGTCCTATATCAAGATGAGCATTCTATTCAGTACTTCTAGGTTTTCAATGATATTAAAGCTGAGATCACTACAACAAAACTAGCCTGACAACATGAGGATTTCACAGTCTAAGAGAGTTTGGTTAGTAAAATGCACGAAATACATTGTTTACATATGTATTGTAGTTGGAAGACACCATATTATAAAGAAAAGAAAATATTCTATTCATTACCTGTGTAACTTCAGCCTTTTCAATACGTTTTATTAATCTTTCAACTCTTTTCTCTGGAAGTATAGCACGTCCTCGACGAGTCACTAAACTGCTTATAATCTTTGGTACACATTCATCAAAATCACATTTGTTTGTATGATCTGTTAAATACTGAAATAATAATAAGAAAAGTAATGGTCAACAATATACAATGATGATTAGTCATATTGTTATAACATCTCTCTGTATAATAATTGATACCAATGAAAATAGAACTATGTTTCCACCGTTGAAAACCTAGTGGTGATTTAACATCAATCGATTCATGATCTCAATCTAAAAACTTAATAATCTCCGCAATCCCATACTGATATTTACCATATACTCACCAGTGGCTACCTTTGTGAAGGAATTCTTAAAGTTCTAGTGAGAAGCCATGACCAATGGAGCTAATCCGTATCGGGTAGAGACAGGTATCTACCTCAATATAGTGGAATATAGTCACGCGATTTCGTGGATTGGTTGAAGTTAGACATTAACACCGGTTGCATGCCGGCCGACTCAGTGGTTAAGCGTTCGCATGCGAGACTGAATACCCTGGGTTTTAATCCCGCATTGAAAGATTTGTTGTATTGGTGTTAATAATGAAAAATAATTGTGCGTTTAATCTCTGGTGTGTAAATCGCTGACAACTGTCTATTTTGAGATTGATATCAAGGTTAGTATATGACTTATATCTTCTGGAACATTCATACAATCTATAGTAATTCCCTACATTCTAGTTAACGTTTCTTGAAACTTTGAAATAGACTCTTATCTCTATGATGTATGAATTTATTAAAAGTATTTAAATGGTATGTTCTAATAATTCTAGAATGAGATCACTTCTATTTAGGAGAGTTTATGATAATACTATTTATAAGTAAAGATGGATGGTAGCTAGCAGTGTAATCCAGGACACGCGTCACGTTGTCTTATTTGGGACTCGTAAGCTGATTGATCACTGGATGGTAATCAATGTCATGTATGTCATTGTTTTTCTTAGTGCAAATCGAATCCTGTAATGTAGCCATTAGTCTAGATGACTCGTCACTGCATAAGATGGTGGTTGAAGGTAGCCCACAGGAAACCCTAGACGTAGGTTTCATGCTACCTGTAATTTTGAGGGAATTGATGCTCCCTGACAGATTCGATCCCATGTCATCCAGCTTCACAGTCAAAGACATTACTAACAAGCTTACAAACACTTCAGACACCCAAAAACTAAATCATTTTATCTGTATATCTTGAATAGTGATATTAAATGAATACATTTAACTTACCCATGGCATACATAATCTCTTATTACGTTCTAATGCCAAATATTGTAATACACCACGATTACTTCTTATTACTTGTACACCAGTACGTGTATCTCTTGTCCATCTTGTAATACATAATACAAATGAATGATTTGGACCCCAACGTGGTAATAATCCTTTACCTAATAAACCTGTTCTACCCATTGGATTTAATGGTGCACCTGTTGTTGAATCTAAACGATAACGACCAAGTAAACTTTGTCTACGTAATTTAGCTTTAGAATCATATTGATTAAAATTGATTGTACGTAGATTTTCACTATGTTGAAAAGTAAATACGATGTTTCCATGGGTAAAACTAATCATAATAATGTTATCATGAATTATAATGTATAACATTAATGATACATGTTTAAGTATAATGTATTCAAATCATTTGAAGAGTTCGATAAGGAATCCGTTGAAGAATTCATATGTGTTTTGACAAGATCATCGGTTTGATTGATGAAGAGAAGAAAAGTAATAAGTTGTCTTTAGACACAGATCTATCTGGGGTTTTTTTAATAGAGGTGTTTAATCTTTAAGTACAGAGACGATTCATCATGCAGTTATAGGCAGTCATATATGACTAATTATGCAGGATATAAAGCATAACAGCATACTCATATTATACTTGATGTGTTAGTAGCTGATATTATAATACAATCATAATATGCAACTTCATGAATGATGATTGTGTTAGTCTATGAATGAATTGTATGTATATACAATGAATAATAGATATCATGCATTTAACAAAAGTCGTGGGTGCGCACTGCTGAGGAGTTCCACAATGGGACGAAACGGCTGTTCAGTGCTTCCAGGTTTTCCGTGGTGGTCTAACTTCAACTGACTCATAATCTTAACCATTGAAAGTGCTATAATATCCACAAAACCCATTGATATTAATCAACATATGTTCACTAGTGACTGGCTCTACGAGGTATTCACTGGAGTTCTGGTGAGAAGTAGTGACTGGTGGAGTTCAACTGGATCTGTTGTGAGATAGTAACTCAATGAAGACAATGGTGGATATGTCGCTCAATTTCGTGGATCAGTTGAAGTCAGACATTAACACCGTCGGATGCCGGCCGGCTCAGTGGTCTAGTGGTTAAGTGCTCGAGCGCGAAACCAGTAGGTTCCGGGTTCGTATCTCGCAAGGTGCGAGGTCGTGGGTGCGCACTGCTGAGGAGTCCCACAAAAGGACGAAACGGCCGTCCAGTGCTTTCAGGTTTTCCGTGGTGGTCTAGCTTCAACTGACTCATAATCTTAACCATTGAAAAGTAAACTTATTGAAGTTGGATATCTCAAGGCTAATATTTTGCATGATCTAAGAATACTGATAGTGTTCAATTAAACTCTTAGAATTATTCAAAATATAAAAGTAATAGAAGTCTTGATCATCTTGGTTTAAGTCTACTTATAATCTAAGACTGTAATGAATCAATTTTCAATACAAATTTCATGACAGTTCTACTTTATGAAAGGCGGAAACTTTTAGAACTACGAAAACCATCATCCAGAACAAACAAGTGTTCAATAACAATTGTCTATGCAAAATACTTAGGATTCGTTGGCTAGATACTATCAGCAAAAAATCTACTGTGGGAGAGAACAAACCAGATCCCAGCAGAGGACGATATCAGAAAGAAGCGTTGGAAGTGGATAGGACACGCATTGAGGAAAGCACACAACTGCGTCACAAGGCAAGCTCACATCTGGAATCCTCAAGTCCAAAGGAGGCGAGGAAGACAAAAGAAAAAATTATGCCGAGATACGGAAACAGACATGAGAATAATGAACAACAATTGGATATAACTAGAAAGAAAGGTACAGAACAGAGTGAGTTGGAGAATGTTGGTCGGCGGCTTATGCTCCATATGGAGTAACAGGCGTAAGTAAGTAAAGTAATCAATGTCTTCAAACTGATACAATATGATCTAGGTACTGAATCGAAATTTGATAAACAGTATTACAGTGAACAAAGACTTAGATGGGGAGAACCAATTTATTGTTTCATTCATAATCATACAATAGTTTAGTAAAATGTGAATTCATACATCAATTACATCATTTGCACATCTTTCAGTTGTCCTCTACATCCCTTATGATCCTCTCAATTCTGTTTTGATTCCAGTCCCTTTCTGTCCACTTCAATTCCTTCATCTCAATATTCTTTTCATGAACATTCTACTTCTGACTGACATTACATACTACTTACATCTATCAATATAAGTTGCATGTACTACAGTATTACTTTCAATAAACAATATTGATGGATATTTATTTCATTTCTTACTTCCTTGATTCTATGAATCCCATCATCTCAATAAAAGGAAGGACAATATGCTTTTAAATCCTGTGTAATGTAAGCCTTTGAACTGATACAAGACGATACAAATGATACAAAGATCCATGTGAACTAATATGAATTCATTCTATTTTGTTTGATCTCCGTCAGTTGCTTACAACTCATAATTGTGTAATGAAGTAACTGAAAACAGATTAATGATAATAAAGGAAGATGTGAGTTGAACTCTGGTTAGCGTCTGGTTAGTTGTCTTCTCAAGATACTCAATATCCTTTGGCCGAATACCATCAGCAACAGCCTACTGTGGGAGAGAACAAACCAGCTTCCAGCTGAAGAAGAAATTAGGAAAAGATGATGGGAATGGATAGAACATACATTACGCAAATCATCAATCTGCATCACGAGGCAAGCCCTAATTTGGAATACTGAAGGGAAACGGAAAAGAGGAAGACCAAAGAATACAGTACATCGGGAAATAGAAACATATATGAAAAGGGTGAATAGAAACTGGAAAGAGCTGGAAAGGATCGCTCAGGACAGAGTTGGATGAAGAGTGCTGGTAAGCGACCTATGCTCCTCCACAAGGAGTAACAGGCGTAAGTAAGTAAGTAAGAGTTGAACTTCATCAAACTGAACCAAAATTATTGATTGAAGAAAAATGGCGGTGATGTAACCAAAACTTGAGGAAGACTTGAAACAATGAATGATGTAATAAAAGGGATGTAATGTGTAGTGTCAGTTATTATGTCAAGCCCATATACCTTATTCTAGCTTTCGGACATCCCATTTTATTCATTCTACTAGAGCCATACTTTGACCTCGTTATTTATTCGCTTGTCAGTCTTGATTGTTTTTATATGAGCGTATATGTGTGTGCCCTTCTTATCCCATTAATCACATGTCTGTAGCTTTATTTTGTCTGACTATAAATATTGAGTAACGCTTGACTAAAATGGAGTTGGCTTCCCAACCATCTTCCCTGCGTGTCATTTTGCTCTATTCTATTACATTCACTTTACATACAAAATATATGTAGTCAAAGGCCATTCTCGTTAATTGACTTATCTAAATTCCGTTATTGACTAATGTGATTCAAGTCGACGATGATATACGAGAATAGGTGATAACAAACATTCATACGATCTAAATAGGAGTCAGAACCATGGGCTACTAAAATGGTGAGCCCTTCAACGAACATTGCTGATTGCTTTTAATCCAATTAAGCTTATATGTTCTTTATATCTAACGTAGGCACTTCTTTCAAATCTACTTATATAACTTATATGGCAGATATATGTGAATTTTTATACGCAGCTATAACGATCAAAGGTCTAGAATCAGATCTATGTGTCCTAAAAGAACCAGTAATCTGTCTTTGTTTACTCTAGTAAGATTAAACCTACTTTTTACCTATTATATCATTCATTATTTCAAATCTTTCTCAAGTTTTGATTACATCATTATCATTTCACCTCAATTCATAATTTGGGTTCGCTTTGACTAATTTCAACCCACATCTTTCTTTATTACCGTTAAGTTATGTTTAGTTACTCCATTACAAAATCATCGAGTTGAACAACATGGTAGATAAGATGGATTCACCTAAGGGAAGTTAAGAAACTCTGATTCCAAATCAATAGTATACATGTTCTCCAAGATCTTGAGGGAACACATGTCTCATAAACCTATTGTTGGCTATCGGCTATCATGGGACTACAGCTCTCCACTGCCTTATGAATTAGACCTCCCTGAAAAAATCATCTTCGGTTATTACATCCAGACAGTATTCTAGCTCTTAGACACAAATCGAATGAAGAAGTGTATCACATATATATGTATATATATTTGGTACCTTCTTGTACCACTATTTATGTGTTTAAATAAGGATTTGAGATTGAGAAGATTGAAATGAAAAGAAGAAGGGGTTTTGTGGAGATTTTAGTAATTTCGATTGTTGAGACCATGAAATTAGATCACCATGGAAAACCTGGAAGCGCTAGATGGCAGTTTCATCCTAGTATGGGACTCCTCAGCAGTGCACATCCACGACCTTCCCCCCCTCCTCGCGAGATTCAAAGCCAGGACCTAAAATATTAATTCATTCATGATCTCAATCAATAATAGAATTCAGTTACATACGATATAACGATGTTGCTATTATGATAGATAAGTAATGAAAGTATTACATGCTAAAAGAAAACACATCATCATGCTTCATGTATTGTAAAATTATAAAAAGAAAAACTTAGCAGGTTAGTAACTAATTATGCAATAGAAAATGCAATGGAATACAGTACACTTGGGGTAATCATTAAAACATGCAACGAATAAATGAAGAAAAAAAATAACTTTAGCCTACTTAACACCATCATGTGATTCTTCTGATGGGAATAATAAAACTTCTTCACAAGCATCATATGCAAAGTAATCTGGATATTCCACCTATTTATTCAATGAAAGTATATGAATAAAGCGTGTATAAATGTACAATTGAAACTATGATATAGAATAGTAATAATCAAGTCAATCATATAATTTTGATTGAGATCATGAACCGATTGATGTTAGACCACTGTTGAAAACCCGGGAGCACTGGACGGCCGTTTCGTCCTTTTGTGGGACCCCTCAGCAGTGCACATCCACGATCACGACCGCGGGATTCTAACCCAGGGCCTTCAGTCTCTCGTGTGAACGCTTAACCTACTGGATTACTGAGCCGGCATCCAATGGTGTTAATGTCTAACCTCAACCAATCCACGAATCCCGCTCGCGGGATTCGTGGATGCACACTGCTGAGGGGTCCCACAAAAGGACGAAACGGCCGTCCAGTGCTTCCAGGTTTTCTATGGTGGTCTAGCTTCAACCGACTCATGATCTTAACCAGTGAAATTACTATAATATTCACAAAACCGATCTGATGTTCATGGATTATGTCAAATCCAAAAAAAGACTTAATAAACTGTCTTTTTAATTATAGTGAGTTTATTTACATGAATGATATCATAGAACATCTAATAAATCTCACAGATCATACATTTTTCAAAAGTATTCAAATCATTCGACTCTGAACTCTGCCTACCACCCAGTAGGGAGTTAAAGAAGGACTTTACATCGAAACTGGGTTTTAAATCGATAATTAGTTGAACTTTTATAACCACAATTAAGAAATAAATTTAAACTTCACTGAGACTGAAATAGCATGAAGCGGTTACATTTGTAAGTATGTTTGTACTTTTTAGTAAGTAATGCTCATTCACAATTAGTAGTGACAAATGGTCGTGAAAACAAATAAACACTTAGTATTGTTGGGGAGATCCAGAAAAGTCCTCACACCTTTTCTCTCGTGTTCAGATTATGGTTTAGATTAAGTCTGAAGGTTGCTAGAAGAGATTAGGGAACCAAATCTAACGTTCTGTTAAAAGATCTATCACTTATTCAGTTAATGTACATGATGAACATTCATTCTTATCCCATAATAAACAAGAATCAAAATCATCATTATAAGTAAACTGTGATTCCATGGAAAATATGAAATATAATTCGAAAGTCATTTGATATTATTTTACTTTTATCTTCCTATTGTTATTTAGGACTGCAAATAATCAGTCTCTTATTGGCATATGTGCATACTGTAAGTATTGCCTCGATATTGCCTTAATTCAAAAGCTTTATAGTAGCTAACAATGGAATCTAGTTTGAAACGCGTCACTTCGTCCTATTTGGAACTCGTCATTTAGATGTACCTCCATTTCAGAGTTGATGTCCACTCTAGGACTCGAACCCAGTACCGTTTATTTCAAACGTCATCTCGTTATCCACTTAGCTATTGAGTCTTGATAGCCACTTGCTTTTGCTAACGAGTCCCAAGTAGGACGAATCGTGCGTCTTGGATTCTACTGATAGCCACTGTCCATCTTTGCTTATGATTCGAAACTTTTCAAAATACTTTTTGTCAAATGAATTGATTAAGCCTAATAGTTAAACATCATGCGTTTAGTATAATCAAATGAAAGTAACTATTCATCTAGTGAAATACTTACAGTCCATGCCATTCGTTCCGGTGGTACATTCATTCTCATTCCAGGATATTTTTCAAAATTAAATGGAGCCAATCTCCATAAACGATGATCACCTAATGTTCTTTCGATAACTCTTCCAGTTTTAATATCTGGAACTTGAGGTACTATGACTGGATCAGCTGAAGGATCACCACCTTCTTCTGAACCACTTGAATCATCTTCGGATCCAGGAACAACAGCAGCTAATAGAACAGGTGATTCCCTGAAGAAATTACAGAATATGTTAAATATTTGATACATGATATAAACTGAAATAAAAGTCAGCCTTGGTTGACTATGGTTAGCCTAATAACTAATCTGTTTTTTACCGTATTAATTGATCAGTAGTTGGCTGGTTTTATGGACGATAAATGAGATATAGCTAGTCATATGATCACACCAGTTACTGGATTGCCCTAAGTTGTGAATAAATTAATCCTTATGTACTCAAGATGTTCAACTTCAAGACCAACAAACTGGATTCCCTAAAGATCGATTGTGTACAGACCAAATCGCAACACTACAGATCATTGTGGAACAATCAGTTAGATGGAATTCATCATTCTACATCAACTTCATTGACTACGAGAAAGAATTTGATAGCGTGGACAGGGCAATATTGTGAAGGCTTTTCAACACTACGGCGTGCCTGAGAAAATAGTCAATATCATACGGAATCCCTATGATGAATTAAATTGCAAAATCGTGAATGGAGGACAGCTGACAAACCCGTTCGAAGTAAAGACCGGTGTCAGGCAAGTGTTCATTACAGCAGATACAGATGATTTCAAGTGAGACTTTTCGTGGTTTTTGCTTGTTAGTCTTTAATAGGATGAATGAATTATCATCCATTATCAACTTGTTTACTAATAAAGACACAAAGAAATGAAATTTTTGTTCTGGTTTTATTAGTAAGACTATAATTTATCGACGAACCAATCAGATTGGCGACAATAGATCTTGGATTTTAGCGCGAAATTCATTCCCACATTTGATTAAATAGTCTTAATTCAATAAAGTCATATACATGTATATGAAAACACACTCACCTTGGGGGTGGAGGAGGTGGTGGCGGTGGTGGTGGTGGTGTTGGTGGTCGTAGTACATCTTTAGCTGCCTCTAATGCAGATTGAATAGCTACTTCTAGTTTTGTACGTTTTCTAGTTTCTGCTGTTCCTGAATCAGCTTGAGTTGTAGTGGATTTTTGTACAGGAACAACTTCATCAGTGAATTCATTACATTGACAAGTAGGAAGTTCATTTATTTGTCGAATAATCTAGAAAATAATACAGAACTCAGTTTGTTAAAAAATCCATTAAGATAATAGTATTATTTCATTAAATACGTCTCAATCAGTTATCATCTCTGTGTAATAGTGATAAGCTGTCATCGAAACCATCGTTATCTACATGTGGGCTTGTAGTCACAGTGACGGTTATGTTAGATTAACCACTCTCCAATGATGATTTTGTCTGATTCATATTGATTGTTAGAATATATACATCTCACCCGCATATTCCATGATACGGCCGAGAGTAGAAAGAGTTATCTCTCCCTCTCCAAATGCTCTCATATGGCCACACGCATACAGCCACTGTCAGAGAAGTCCTACACACTGACTTATTGCAGATAGGATATTGGTTGCGAAAATGAGAGGACGAAAATCGAATGTTCGGAGCTTTAAACGGGTTGATGGATATGGAGGATCCACCTAGAAGAGTTGGGAAACTCTAATTCCAAACAAATGGTGCACATGAGATCCAGGATCCTGAGGGAACAAATGGCGTATGAACCAATTATTGGTCACCGGCTACTATGGGACTGCATCTTCTGACGTTGCTCCACTGTCCTGTGGATTAGTCCTTTAGGTCGAAAGCTCCGAGTTTGACCCTCTAAGAAAACCACCTGCTTCGGTCTGGGCGCCCGGGTGGTATCACACCTCACACACAAATCAAGTGACTTGAGTGGCGCAAATATATTAGGTGAAAATATACCATTCATTTTAACGGTTAATAAATGTTTGTATTTGCATGAAAATAAGTATCATCTCACTTTGTCTGTTGTTTTTATTTATTCTTCAACTTTATGTCTTTTGCTAGGTATTATTTACTGTGAATGACACTAGTTCAAAATACTTCACCACTACTACTGTGATATGTGCTATTGATGTCCACAGATATAAGTAGTATGTTTGACCAATCAAAAGTGAAATGCCTGGTGGCAGAAAGTTAAGAAGTTCAAAGAAATGAGTACGAGAGCAGTGAATGTTTGATGTAGAAACAAAGGAACAATCAAGTTTGAGACAACTAATTGAAGTATGATTATCAGATTCTACTAGGATATTCTGTAATGTTTTCTTAAAATACACTTGATTGTTCCCACTTGTGCTTTAACCATTTAAGTGGAGTTTTATTCACGGAGGTAGACACTTTGGTCCTGAAGTTTTGATTATTCTTCCTCTGAGTAACATCATCAGTACAATCTTGTTCAGAAGAATAATGAAAGGTAATGTTATATCCCGATAAGAATAATGAATGATTCATATCGCAGAGGCTGAGATTGGTGTTCTGGACTTAACTGACTGTGCTAGACTAGGACTCTAGGCTGCTCGCACGTGTTTCATGCGTCACTGGTTCGATCGACAATTCGCTGCTCTCTGATTGGCGGTATCATTGCGTTATACAATAAACAGAACACACAGGTTCACAAGTTATAACAGCTAACTATTGTCAACTTACTCGTTGTTGTGTTTCAGTCACATTACTGATTACTTCAGATAAATTTGTTAATAATTGTGTTACATCATTCAAACGTGAATCAACATCATTAAAACGTTGAAATTGATTATCAATCTCTTTGAAACGTTTTTCTAACTCCATTCCAATACCCTGGGAGAAATAGAATAATACAAGGAAAAAAACAATGATAATGTTATTATTGGAAGAGAAGAACCCAATCAATTATAAAAGAGGCCAACTACCTCTCGCCTACCTTGTTAACAATGATGCCTTACTAATCGCTAGTTTAAGATAGATTTCTCAAAGCCCTATTATGATACTATTCCTTATGTAATATAACTAACTGTATTAAGAATGAGCTATTTATTCACTAATGACATAGATTAGTTATGGTATTGGATCGTGAATTAGAAGAAGTTGAAAGTATAAACCATTGGATACTGTAATAGCTGTTAACAAACATCTAATTAGTTATAATATCAATAAGTCTATAGTCCGATTTTGTGTGTCAGCATTGATGAGTAGTTTGCAACTATGAAAAACATGAAGTGTCCAATGTTCTATACCTTTAAGTGTTATCTGAACTTACATTCGAAATAGAAAACTTGTACAAACACCATAATCATAATGATCAAAACTAGGGTTACAAGAAAAAGGCTCCGAGATTTCTGTAATTTCTGACAGTAACATTATCTAGAAAAGTAACGAAAGCCTTATGGTTACATCATCTGTTTCAGACGAAGCATCATTTACAGAAGCATAGCAGTTTAATAAAGATTACAAATAGGTTGAGTTACTTAACTATGTATCGCAAGTGAATGCAAGTCACCATGGTAAACTAATGTAATATGTGACAAAACTGGAGGTTTAACTGGTTTTAAACTAATTAAATTGTTTGCTTTTATTAAATCCGCTAAAACGGAATAGCATATACTGGGACACTCTAGTTATATTGCCAAGTATACTGGTCATATGTTTAAAATATCCCTGATTTCATTTCAGCTAATCAAAATACGTTCACATTGTTCACTGATATTCTAAACAAATTTAGATTATCATTGAATAGCATCAATATTACCTCTGTAACACTGGACATTTCACTTTTTAAATCCATTACTGGTCCTTGACCAGGACCAACACCTCCACCACCACGAAATACCACAGCACGTGATTCAGCTACACCTCTTTTCCCAGTTGCTTTAGTTGATGGTTCTCTTAAATAATCCATAGCTTTCATATGCTCCCATTTGACCATTTCTCTTTCTTTTTTCACATCGGTAAATCGTACACCTTAATAAGTAAAACAAATGTGTACAGAATAGTCAAGTTATAAGTACCAATTCCCCGAAATGGGATGAAAGACAACAAACGAATAGAGAATGTGAAAAAGCTTAATAAAATAGTTTATTTATTCATAACCGTCCAAGGAAGGGACAGAACTTTCACGAATTTCTTCTGAATTCAAAAACTTAGAATTATAGGTTCAGAACCTCATCAATTCCGCTATATGTAGGAGATTGAAAATGACGAAGGTTTATAATAAATCACTCGAAACGATCACAGACAATATCGCTAACCAAATACTCGTTGAATTATAGTTTTGAGAAACAGAACTTTGTTATTAGCGGTCAACATCTGAAACTTAGTTTTCTCATGTTTACGTGTACTTCTTTAATAAACGTCTCAGGTAGTTCATCTTCGTCAGTATACTACTGATAAACTACTACTCATTTAAAACATCCATTGAGCAGATTATTTTCGCTCTACACATTAAACATGTGACCAGATTTCTTCTGTAATGGGTGTGTTTAAAATCATAAAATGGTGGGTGTGCGTCGACAAACCAACGATCTCACTCTAAATAGGCTTCTACTTAGACGAACTGTCATCTTATAACTGTTAAGAACCAGTTAAAATACATACTGACTTAATGAATAAAGGGATCATATACATCGAATTCACATGACAATTCAAAGCTACACATAAATAAGTATCATAATTTACATTGATAACCAGAATTGTTAAAAAATTAAACAGATTGATTTACAAAATGGATTATATTTCGCTGTTTCAGCATTTCTTAAACTAGCGCATTGATTTCCAATAGCTTTATATGCTTCATAGAAATGCCAAACAATAATAATTGGTGGAGCAAGTGGTGATCTATGAACATAATCATTGATCATTTGATATCTTTGATAATTCCAATAGTATGTTGATGCACTCTCTATTTCTTCGTAGGTCTTACTGAAAAAATATCAATTAAAATTTAGGCTACTTATATTTGAAACAGTAGTTCATCTTATAAATTAAAAATAAAGGAAAACGGTGTCGTATTTTCCACATTGATTTACAATAAATTGAAATCAGTGATAATTTAATGAGAAAATCTTCAGGTTAACTCTATGAGATTCTTGGTATTAAAACTAAAGATCTTTTTACGATGGTATAGTTTTAATATCATATTCATACCCATATTAATAAACCTGAAGATGTCACAGGTATTTGGAGTTGGACAACACTTTAACCAGTAACACCTTCTACTATGCATCGTATCCACCAAGTGAAATCAAAAGACAGAAGCTAGGAAGTCCAAAGATATATTTGATAATCTACCAATATATCGTGGATCGACTGATCTAATCTGGCTACCGATTTCAGGGGATGTTGAGCACGGCGTTCCCACTCGTGATCTGGTGTGGATGCATAACTGAGCGCCTTCAACGTGGTGAGTCCATTTAAACTAATGTGATCAGCATCTAATGTCGGAGACTTACAGAGCTATTTATTTATGGGATTTATTTACCGTTACAAACTTATTAAATCGACCTATCACTTTATGGTCACCAAATCAAAATGTCAAATTGAAATCTTATTAAAAGTGACTTTAGATAGCTGAATGTATTTTTCTGTATCAAACATCTTATAGTTTCGAATGACAAATTCTCAATAACATTTCTACGAAAACAACAATAAAAGATTAAAAGGCGAGACTATAACTTATGGACGAACTAATCAGGTATAAGATAATAGGTCTTGGATTTTTGTGCAAAGTTCACTCATCCATTTGTGGTTAAATAGAGTTTTGGCATTATAGCCTATTTTAGTTTATGATGAAAACCTTAAGTGTAATTCCTAACCCTTAACCATCAACTGTAAGTCATAATTTTAATTTCACACACTGATTTATAACCCTCATTTGGTTCCGGTTATTAGGTGGACACTCTCAATGTCAAGGTTAGATGGTGGTTGGAGGTAGTCAACAGGAAACCCTGGACCCGGGTTTCGTGCTACTTAGCACTCCTCAGCAAGGTGTACCTGTAATCTTGAGTGAACTGGTGCTCCCTAGCGGAATCGATCTCGTGTCACCCAGCCTCACAGTCACAGACGTTACCACTGAGCTATCCGAGCCGCGACCGACCTCCTGTAGGACTGAGATGTAGTCACAATTGATTTATCACTGGGTGGTGATCAATGTCATGCTTGTCTAGTCCTTATTAGTGCAGATCGAATGCTATTGACACGCATGACACTGGTCGCCACCCAGTGATCAATCAATCGTAACTCTCAATGTCAGTTTAGCATCGTTCAAAGGTCGTCCATAAATGACAGTCTCATCGATTGAAACATTATTTCTTTTTTTAAATTAGTGACAGAAACTATGACACAGACAGAATTTGTTCAGTTCAATGTGCAGACCAATGAATATATAACTCTTCCAGTACACGCAACTTATTAATTTCTTTATCTAAGCATTGATACAAGGAGGTATCGAATACATATGTACCACATATCGGCATTCGATTTGTGTCAGAGCTGGAATACGGACTGGTCACCTAAATCGAAGTACATTGTTATCCTAGGAGGCCACTCTCCGAGCATTTGATTTACAGTTCTAATTCATAAGGCAGTGGAGTAACGTAAATTGAAGGATGAAGACATGTACATACAAATGAAACGACTGGAATTTTTAAAAATAGTATTTACTCATAATTTCTGAGTCTCAATCGTTATATAGCTCTTAATTAGTGGTGGTTAAACAAACCCTTGTGATATAGTAGCCTAATAAAACTGTAATGGAACTCAAAACATCTGTCAGTCAACATCAAAGTTCGAATCTTTGATACAAACGTCAAGACAGTTCTACCATACGTAGCTGAAATTGAAGGCAGACATCAAAACGATGAATAGTAACTGTAAACAACTGGAAAGAATTGTCTACGACATAGTTTGATGGAGATTCCATATGAACAACCTATGCTCATCCACGAGGGGCAACAGATATAAGTCAGTAAGTAAGTAAGTAAAAAAATAACAAGTTGTAATGATTACACTTACGAAAACATGGCAATAAGTAAGTTGAACATCAGTATATTAGTTAATAACACATAGAATCCAAGCATAATAGGTACAAGCCAACGTGATGTTTTCGTAGGGCACATATGATTCTGACATGTTCGATCTATTCAATGAATAAAAAAGTAGAAATTATTCCACTGTATTGTTACTAGTACTAATCACAGCAAAATAATGAGGAGATTGGCTAGCAACTATTAACTATTACACTCATGGAATGTATATTGTTCTATTTACTTTCCTAACAGATTAGATCATTACAGACTCTTTAGACTAGGAAGTCATAACTACAGAGGAATGTACATTTTAGTTCAAGTGATATCTGGTAAGCTATTTAGGTTGATTACTGTAAAACATATGAAGAACTTCATTGCATATCAAAACTTATCTATCAGTTTTCCAATACGAATATACTAACCTGTATTTGGAGTAGTAGCCAATATAGTGGCGAAGATTTGTAGCTCAGGTGGGTGATTTTAATGGGGTTTTATTCTCTGAGCTGGATGGTTTGGTTGTGAAGCTTTCATCGTTCTTCTGAACGACACCATCAGAACTAACTTCAGGTAGGAGTCTATCTGATTCACCATTAAGAAGGTTAGATGTAAAGTGAATAATTTAAGTAATAAGCAATTCAATGAATAGAATTTTCTATTAGACGACTTCATTTATGTAAGCTGTACAATCGTAGTTCAAAGTAATTCCAGGCAGCAGTCAGAGCAAAACGTTGAAACTTAAGTGACTAACAAGATCAGCTATTAATCTGAACTTGTGGTTTAGTCTATTGAGCATCAGTATTAAATCATCATAACTTGAAACAATGGTTGTTGAAATTTGGTAGTTTAAGTTGAACTACTTGTAAGTAGTTAAACTTTTTATAAAAAATAAAATAACGAAGGCAATCCAACGAATAAAACTTTCTGTTAGAGGATTTCGTCTACGTAAGTTGTACAATCGTATTTATAGTTAACTTATTCATTACAGGTAGTAGTCAGCAGTAAAGTAGAATGATAATGAGTGATTAAAACAACGTGAATTGGGATTGTATAGTAAGTTGTTTGTAGAAACCAGATATTCGACTGGTGAATAATAGTAGGGTGAAGAAAAGTGTTCAGTTTACAACTGTTAAGAATAGAATGGTGACAACTTGTAATACTGGCTAGTTAATAGATCTTAAAACGATTGAAAAGAAGTAGAAGTAACTGATAAATCTTCTAACTGAATGCTAGATTCGGTTTCCTAAGCTCTTCTAATAACCTTCAGCCTAAATCTAAACTACAATCTGAACACGGGAGAGAAAAAGTGAAATATGGAAGAACCGTTTTACTCCAAAAGTTTGTTTATGTGCAAAAAATCTAGGGTATTTATAGTATTTTAAATGGCCTTGGGCTTCCGAAAGATTCTGGAACGTTACTAAACATAGTATCAGTAATAGGCAATCATCCAATCAGAAACGGGACATGTGGCTTTCCACCTTCTAGATGTTTCTGATAAAACGTTTATTGAATGCTGATTAGACAAGAGGTTTCCCAGAGTTTTGAGAGCCTATTTTTGGCCTTTTTTCGAGAAATTTTTCTGAATTTCCCCAACAATAATAGAATGAAAAACGACAGATTACCAAAGATAGAAAGGAAAGTTAAGTGTGTGTGATAATAACGGACTCAACATATTGTTCTGTTTGAGATCATCAGTCAGTACAATTCTGGCTGACATTTTCAATGCCTATCTCGAACCCACCATATTTAAACCAACACTATAGATCTCTATTGTCGTTACATTTTGTACGAAAATTTTAACTACTTACAAGTAGCTCAATTCAAACTACTAAATTTTAGCCAGTATTGTTTCAAGTTATGATGATCTAATACTGATGCTCAATAGACTAAACCACAAGTTTAGATTAATAGCTGATCTTGTTAGTCATTTAAGTTTCAACATTTTGCTTTGATTGTTATCTGACTTCGTTCAAGGCGGATAAGGACTCTAGATTGCTTATATGGATTTTATGGGTTATTGTTACAATCAATAAATCACTCTTTTCTAATTGGCGGTATCAGTACGTCATATATGAATAGGGCAAAATGCCATAAGTTATTACATGATCGTTCAACTAAAATATTCTTATTGAAATACAAATGTATCCAATAACTGTCAAAATAAACCATTGTACACAACTTTAGGAAAACGGATGATGAGGATTCTCATATTGGGACGAAACAGTCGTTCAGTACGTCCAAGTTTTCAATACCGATCTAACATTCATCAATTCATGATCTCAATCAAACCCATAACAATCTCCACAACTTCATGCAGATGACATTTTGTTTGTTTTTGTTGAACTACATCAATTCAATAAATAACAAATCAATTATTCATACGAATAATAGTATGATTTGATATCAAACAATTCAACTTACCTTCTCCTTGTAATGCATCTAAACTAAAATCACCAAACATTTGAAAATATGCAGTTGTATACATTGAAAATATAATATCAGCAAATGTCATATGTTTAATTTCAGAATCTTTAATTCATTGAAGATCCCAATTAGATTGTTTGTTTTGTTTTGTTTTTTGGAAATAGAACCGGGGAGTTCGGATAAGGTTAGAATAGGGAACAAAACAATAACAAAAGAGAATTTAGAGAAGACAAGCATTACTACTATTACTATTATTAGTAGTATTATTACTATTATTATTATTACCATGACCATTACGCCTACCATTAATCTTACCATTACCATTACTATTATCAATATTATTATTATTACAATCAGGCTGGATGATTAGGCATATATGAAAATGAATAATTAATTAATACAAAACTAATGACATGATAAGTAAATATAAAATGAGTTTTCTTGAATAATTCAACACAACAGATTAGGTACAATCTATAAAGAGATGCAACTAACTAACTAACTTACTAAACTAACATTATCGTTACTATCGAAGTGGAGATTTGTGGAGATTGTAGGAATTTTAATAGTTGATTTTATGAGCTACCACTTAAAGGTTCAAAGTAGTGGACGACCGTTTTTTCGTAGGATAGGAGTCTTCAGAAGTGTGTATTCATCATCCCGCACCAAAGGGACTGGAACCCAGGACCTTCGGTCCACGTGTGAATACTAAACTCTAAAGTATTTAACTTGCTGGCATTCAACGGTGTGAATGTATTGCTTGCTTACTTATTTACGCCTGTTACTCCTCGTGGAGGAGTATAAGCCACTCACCAGCATTCGCCATCCAACCCTGTCCTGTGCAATCCTTTCCAGCTCTTTCCATTTGTTATTCATCCTTTTCATATCTGCTTCTATTCAACGATGTAATGCGTTCTCTGGCATTTCTCTTTTCCGCTTCCCTTCAGGATTCCAAGTTAGGGTTTTCTTCGTGATGCAGTTTGGTGATTTCCGTAGTGTATGTCTTATCCATTTCCATCGTCTTTTCCTAATTTCCTCTTCATCTGGAAGCTGGTTTGTTCTCTCCCACAGTAGGCTGTTGCTGATGGTATCTGGCCAATGGATGTTGAGTATCTTGTGTAGACAGCTATTTAAAAATACTTTTACCTTCTTGACGATGGTTGTAGTAGTTTTCCAAGTTTCAGCTGAGCAGAGTAGAACTGTCGTGATATTCGTATTGAAGATCCTGGTTTTGATATCGATTAACAAACAGTGGTTTTGAGTTTCCTTTATTCTTCAATTGTAGGAATGCGGCCCTTGTTTTGCCTATTCTCGCCCGTGAATGTCTAACTTCAATCAATTCATGATCTTTTGAAAATATTCGTTTATTGTCTGAAGTGGATAAATGTATCACACTCAATATAAATCGAAATCTGTTAGTCACGACTTCTTACTAGGATTCCTGAAAATCCATTATGAAACTTGACGGGTATTTGAATCGACAACTATATCTCTGTGCTATTGTGGTATAGCAACTCGAACTGACATACGTATATACGAAGTTCTACGTTGTTACTAACTGACTGACTGATTATGAAACTTAGATCGACTCATGAACTCAATGAAATGTAAGTTTTCTGATGAGCTGAATGTACCTGCATCTCAGAGCTGATGTTTACTCTGGAACTCAAACCCAGTACCATTTGCTTTAAATGTCATCACGTTATCTACTTAACTACTGAGTCTTGATAGCCACTTGCTTGTGAAGTGAGTTGAAGTTTAAATCTACTTGATATTGTTTACTTGAATCTTTCCATTGATGTTTACGGTTGCGATTGATCTATCTTTTGTTGGTTTATGTACATCCTGTACGGATTTCTTCGATATTGCTTTAATTCAAAAACATTCTAAGCAATGATAGATAGTGACTAGTAGTGGAATCTAGTTTAACGTGTTTTTCGTCCTATTTGATACTCGTCAGCCGCATACCGGAGTGAATATAAACTCTAGGATGCAGATACATCTAACTGACAAGTCTTAAATAGGACAAAACGCTCATCAAACTAGATTCCATTGCTAGTCATTATCCATCTTTACTCATTAATAATGTAAAGAATAATTAAGAATCCATCAAATTTCTCTTTCTATCTAACAACAACAACAAGAACAAAAGAAACTGTTTAATATAAATTTGACATTATCCATTATATCATTGTCATATTTGTAAAGAAATGACCTTAATTTGACGTATCTTTTTGTTTATGAATGTAATCGTAATCTTTGAGAACAACAACGACAAGAAGAAGAACGAGAAGAAGAAGAACAACAACAACAACAGCAACAAGAACGGCAACAACAAAGAGGAAGAAGTGAACTATTCAGGCTTATAATAATCCTACCAACTGAATTTACGATGACCTCTTTTTAAAAAGTACTAAATGGATTAGAATGTCAATCTGAACATATCAAACTTAACAAAAGAATGAATTAGGATAATAAATAAACTTATTTAGAATAGGGTGTACTCTTGATAATTGTAATTAAACTTTAACTTGAAATAATGAAAACAACATGGAATGATTAGTAATAAACGATGAGAAATTGTTGAGTATTCATATTTGAGTGTCTCATAGTCTCACGTGCGAGCGTTTAACCACTAGACCACTGAGCCGGCATCCAACGGTGTTAATGTTTAACTGAGACTGATAGGTCCTGGGTTCGAATCCCACTAGGCGGAGTCATGAATGCGTACTGCTGAGGAGTTGCACAATAGGACGAAAAGGCCGTTCAGTGTTTCCAAGTTTTCCATGGTGTTCTAACTTCAATTGATTCATGATCTCAACTATTGAAATTACTACAATCTTCTCAAAACCCCTTCTGTTACTAATTCATCTAAGGAAATATACCTAATCACCTTTGAGTTGACTTAAGTCTAAACCTTCATGGACTGTAATTGATTCATCTTTGAGTGAAACTCAACTCTGAGATAAAAAATACATTCAGCTGAAGAGTTTCAAAGAGGACGAAGTGACGCATGTCATACTAAATTCCACTGTTGGTCACTATTCATTTTTGCTTATAGTCATATTAGTTTAAAATGTGGACAGATTAAAAAAAGAAAGAAAACCTACTTAATGTCATATTCTCTTTGGTAAATAAACCATTTGGATAGGCGATTGATTGTGCAGCCACTGCATAACCAACCATAATCACAGTTAAAATAATCATAAATGGAATTAAATCATTGGTCACCTTATGGGATAAAATTCAATGAAAGAAACAAACAATAAACTGTTTTTAGGTATCAATGACAAGGTCGAACTTAAAAGTATCGAATACATGTACATATATATGTATATAACGAATCGATCAATGTTGGAAAACCACTGGAAATCTGTAAGCATTGAATGGTCGTTTCATTCTAGTGTGGGAATCCTCACCAGAGCGCAACCACGATTTTACATCATAGGGAATCGAACCGAAGATATACGGCCGCACCCACGAATGATTAGTTTCTAGACCACTAAACCGGGATCTAACGGTGTTGTAATGTCTGTCTTCAAACAATTCACGATATTGTGCAACCATCTTTAATTATAATGGGTTTGAATCTGTCAATGCCAACTTATTCTTAGTCATGGTGAATTTGTCCGACCTGTCAATGAATCAATTTGAACATCAGACTGTGAGTATCAACAATGTATATGTTTGGAATATGAATTCGTCAGGTCGAAATTTGGTGAGTAGGCCAGGTGGGAAATGAATGAGATCAAATATCGTTGTTTAGATAAACATTTCAGATTAGATAATATTCAGGTCACCTTTCCTATTGAAGGCCGAGGGATTCAGAATTATATGTGTGTAACTTACATGTCTCTTAGCACTCGTCGAGATCACACGGAAAGACTCTCCAATGTAGAATGCATCACAATCAATACAACTTAATCTGTAGACAAATTTGTTTGTAGAAGTGAACGGGATCTTATCATACAATCTGGACTGTTTTCTAAACAACCATATTCGACCTGATTTATTTTGCACACAATCTACCTATATACATACACACACCTCACGGCTTCATGCTACAAATGTATAGATTTTTCATAGCCTACTCTCTTACGCATAAATCAATACAGTGATAGGACATATAGAATAACCTTGCCCAAGAATAACTTGAAACTGACAGATTCAGACTTATTACGATGGAAGATGGTCACCTAATATCGTGGGTTGGTTGAAGTTAAACATTACAACACCATTGGATCTTGACTTAGTGGTCTAGAGGTTAATCATTCGTGGGTGAGGTTACATGTCTTCGTTTCGATTCCCTATGATGAGAAATCGTGGATGTGGTCTGATGAAGATTCCCATACATGAATGAAACGATCATTCAATACTGACAGATTTCCAGTAGCTGCCGTACATTGATCGATTGGTAATAATAATAAGCTTATTCTTTTGCTAAAATGATTGACTGTACGTTGATTAAAAATTAATATTCTATTACAAGGTTTTTCATTTACGGTTTCTAAGAAATTTCCTCTCAAATCAATGATGCTCAATGATGATGAGTATTAAGATGAAGTTTATTATTATGTGGGAACTTTTCATCTCAAGTAGGACGAACAGTGAATCTTGGATTCTACTGTTAGCCACTATTCATTTTTGCTTAGAATCCTTGCAACATAAAACAATTTTGGTGGAGTTTTGTTCTTTGAGCTGGATTATTTGGTCGTGGAGCTTTCATCATTCTTCCGAACTACATCATCAGCACAAACTTCAGATGGAAGTGAAATGTTCGAATTTCTTTACATATGGCTCATAGCTTATCGTGTAGATCTCGATATTGATTGGTTCTTGTTGACCTTAAACCTGTCATTGTTTACTTCTTTGTTATGGTTGTATCTTTCAAACAATCCATAAAAATCATCCACCTGAGCTACAAATCTTCATCAACTTAAAACAATATTGAGGCAGTCCGCACAAGATCAATTGTAGTTCTTAACAACAATGGGAAGATACAAGCCAAACAATACCAAGTTTATTTAGACTTCACCCCATTGAACAAGCAAGTGACTCTCAGAATTCAATAGCTAAGTGGATGACGCGATGACATTTGAAGCGAACGGTACTGAGTTCGAGTCTCGGAGTGAACATCAACTCTGAGATACAGGTACATTCAAGTGACAAGTCATAAATAGGATGATGTGTCGCTCATCGTGGATTTCACTGATATTCATCATCCATCTTTGCTTAGAATACTTGTGATTTAAGGCAACACTAAGGTAATCCATACAGGATACACATATATCAATAAAAGACTGATTAATTGAAGACCTTAACAACAAGGGGAAGATACAAGCAAATAATACTAAGTAAATGGATCACTATGTAAGTTTAAGGAAGGGATTTTGTGGATATTATAGTAACTACAATAGTTGAGATCATGAGTCAGTTAAAGCTAGATCATCATGGAAAAGCTGGAAGATATATTTCCTGGAGTTCTAGTGAGAAGCAGTGACCAGATAGTAATTCACTGAAGACAATAGTAGATAGTGGCGCTCAATTTCGTGGATTAGTTGAAGTCACACATCAACACCGTTGGATACAGTCTCAATGGTCTAGAGTTTAAGCGCTGGCACGCCAGACCGATAGATCCTGGGTTCGAATCTCTCGGGTGCGGGATCGTGGACGTGCACTGTTGAGAAGTCTCACAATAGAATGAAATGGCCATCAAGTGTTTCTAGGTTTTCCATGATGATCTAAATTCAATTGACTCATGATCTCAACTATTGAAATGACTGTGTTATCCACAAAATCCCTTCTGATATTAATCAACATATGCTCACTAGTAACTGGCTTCAAGAAATATATCCTGGAGTTCTAGTAAGGAACAGTAACCAGTGGTGTTCAGCTTGGTCTGTTGTGAGATAATAACTCACTGAAGACAATGGTGGATGGTGGCGCTCAATTTCACACATTAACACTGTTGGACACAGTCTCAATGGCCTAGAGATCAAGCGTTCACGCGAGATACGCACTGCTGAGGTGTCCCACAGTAGGGCGAAACGACCGTCCAGTGTTTCCAAGTTTTTCATCATGATCTAGCTTCAATTGACTCATGATCTTAACTATTGAAAAAGCCTTTATTACACCATCATTATACACATATTAAGATTTAAATAATCTACCATTACGCATACACGATCCCGCCCCCCGGCGAGACTCGGACCCAGAACCTCTCAGTCTCTCGCCAGGCGCTTAACCAACTAAACCGCTTAGCCGGGACCCAATGGTGTTAATGTCTAACTTCAATCAATCCACGAAGTTGCACCACCTTACACCATTGTCTTTACCCATTAGATGAATGTAAAAAAAGAGAGAGAAAAAAAGAAGAGAAAGAAAAAAAAAACACAAATATCAAAACTTACCATTTTACCAATCATAATTAATTTTGGTCCTAATGCAATATGAAAACTAAATGTATACATTAAACGTATATAGAATGTGAATAAACTAATTGCAAGACATATACGTGATGGATCTAATATTGGATCTGTCACAATATAATAACGTTCATATTGTATATTAAAATTCTCTCCTTCATGATTACGTAATCGTAATAATACAATTAATCTTAATATAAAACCAACAATATATAATGCTAAACCAGCACAATCTAATTTATTCCATCCATCAGATATATAAGTTCTAAAACTGATACCAGATAATACAGCCTAAAAGAAAAAAATTTGGAGAAAGAAAAAGAAAAAGAAAACAAAGAGGAGACAATAGTATCAAATCATCTTATTGATTTTCATATACATTACAATAATAATAATAATAATAATAATAATAATAGTATCTAGGATGCACGTTTCGTCCTCCTGGCGACTCATCAACTGGATGTATCTACATCTTAGAGTTGATGTTCACTTTGGGACATTATACACTAAACAATGATGTTCTCGAACTAATATATATATATATGATGCTTCTAGAGTAAGCCAATATGGATGGGACAATATCTTAATTTCCATAGTTACTGACCAATAAAAGGCTTATTCAATTAGACTCAATCATATTTGTACTAGTGATACTATTGAAATAGAAATGAAGCTCTTGACTGAAACGTTATTGAATAAGTTAGACATTAACACTGTTAGATGCCGGCTCAGTGGTCTAGTTGGTTAAGTGCATGGCGCGAGACTGATAGGTCCTGGGCTCGAATCCCGTGAGGCGGTGTCGTGGATGCGCACTACTGACCTATGACACTTCTAGCATCCAAAAAGTGAGTTTATATTATGTTACCATTTAGAGGCAACTCAAATAGTTTCATGTTGAAATGGAGAGTTAAATTAACCATCAACTGGACATTTTATGCAACCTAACTTGTCATCAATGAAAAGACAAGGTCTGTGTTTCACCAAAAATCCAAACAGCACATAAGCGATTGTGTCTATCAATTTACATGTATGTGCGGAAACACATACATAGGGAGGACCAATCCTGATATACAATTAAGGTTGATGGAATACATATCCAAATGGCTGCAGAAACAAATGAATTCCAATGATCAATTAAGATCACATGATACACAGATATCTTCCTTCATTGGAAAACATTTGATTGAGACTGATCATAAGGTTAACATCAAGTCAGCATTTGTAGTTTTGTACAAAAGTCTTCAAGGACGTATATACTAAGGTTTATTGAAGCCTTGGCTTCAATGTGTTCTTACCTTTAACCTACTCTGGTAATACTGATTTATTATACAGAGTGGTGATCACATTGCTCTCGTGTACTTTATTTGTCATTGTTATGGCTTACCTTTAGTTGACTTATTAGTTTTCATATAAAAATGTCTTAACAAGTATAGACGTGTGATCAAACTGTTCGAATTGTATTACGTAATATATTACATAATTTTGATAAACTTCATCTTCTCTTATTGCATTATCGAAATGTTCATGAAGGTTAAGTTACGGGTAACTTCTGAGAACTATTTATGGACTGCTGTCAGTCAGTCAGTCAGTCAGTCAGTCAGTAACAACTTAGCATATACGTACATCAGTGCAAGTTGCCACACCACATTAGCACAGAGATGCAGTTGTCGATTCAAATCCCGTAGTAGTAGAGGCGGTAAGAGTATAAGCAGTAATCAGAAAGATTAGGGTTTCAAGATGTTATTTAAAGAGTATTATTAAGTGAAATAAATTTGGAAAGAGAAAAAAAAGAGACAAGGGGGATTGGGGAGATCAGAATTTGGGAGAACACAAAGAGTGTATGCACCTGTGCCATTGCAAACGATTTTGAGCCATGTCATTCAGGGTCTCTAGCTATCGGTTGCTATCATCTCGCGGTCCCCAACCAGGTAGTCTACACCTACCAACATGGCTCAGTCCACTTGTCAGTGACTTCATGGACTTGTGCCATGTTTTGGTCTGGCCGTCCCAATATATATATCCTCATTGTACAGCTATTCAGTAGTTAGATTGTGTATATCTATATTTCTCTTATTATAAGCTTCATTTCGACCTACGATTTACTGTTCTTGAGTTATGTTCAGTTCATTGAGTACTGTCTTCCGTGATCACAACCAGTCTTTGGCTTGATCTTGTACAAATGTTATTCCCTACTTTATGGTGTGTTGTGGTCTGTTTGGTTGGTATATAAATCAAGTATATTTGTAATAAATGATTCGTATATTGGAAGCTGTTATTGACGTTCTGGATTCAACTGTTAGGGCTAGAAAGAAAAAGGACCAATAAAGACAATAGGCTGCCCATATTGTTCGAACATCATTGGTTTGGCACAGTGCTAAGATTGTATTGCGACGTGTGCTACTGATGTCGATAGATAAAGTAGTATGTATCATAAGCACTACAAACGGTGATTGATGATGGCGAGCAATGAAATTCAGTATGAGCATTACTTCGTCCTATTCGGGATTCGTCAGATAGATGGACCTGCATACTAGAGTCGATTTTTACTCCAGGAATCCAACTCGATACCGTTTGTTTCAAACTCCATCTCTTTATCCACTTGGCAACTGAGTTCTGATAGCCACTAGCTTTAGCATTAGGGTGAAGTTTAAATTCATTTTGTATTGGTTGTTTAATCTTCCCAATGATCTTCAGGACTACAAATGATCAGTATCTTGTTGGCATATATGCATCTTGAACGGATTGCCCACATATTGCCGTCAATCACATGCATTATAAGCAAAGATGTTCGATTAGAAAATAAAAATGGTATGTATATGATGCTTCTTTGAGTAATCAAAGGCAATGGTTATGAATGTAATTAAAATTCTGTAATCTAAATTTTTGGACAGCTAGGATGCAGCTGGACGATCCGTACTTCGCAGATGATCTGGCTCTTCTATCGTACACGCAACAACAAATGCGGGAGACGACCAGTGTAGGAGCAGCCTCAGAAGCAGTAGGTTTCATCATACATAAAGGGAAAAGAAAGAGTCATAGATACAACAAAACAAGCATCAATCAAGCCATATCTGACGGAGAAGCTTTAGAGGATGTAAAAATCTTTACATTTATGAACACGGTGGATCTGATACATATGTAGAAACGCGGATCGACGAAGCAAGAGCAGGATATTTACAGCTGAAGAACATCTGGAACTCAAACAATTGTCACCGACACCAAGGTCAGAATTTTCAACACAAATATCAAGACTGTTCTACTGTATGGGGCAGAAACTTGGAGAACTACGAAAACCATCATCCCGAAGATACAAATGATTATTAACTGTTGTCTACGCAAAATACTTCAGAATATTAGTTTATCGATATTTAATAAGTGAATATATTTGTCAAAATTCAACCAATCCACCATATTGAACGACTATCTTCCATTGTCCTCGGTTGGTAACTACCTCACAGCTGACATTGTTGAACTCTACTATTCATGGCTTATTACGACTACTCCGAAAACTCCCTTTCAAATGTAGTCATTAACGAGCACATAATAATTATCAGTATAGAGTTATAAACATTGTTGAGTTTAAATTAAGATCATGAACCGTTCAATGTAAAGCCACTAATGGATACTGGGCTTATTGGTTCAGAAGTTAAGCTTTCTCATTAAAGACTAAAGGTCCTGAGTTTGAGTCCTATATGTGTGATCGTTGATGCCCAATGCTGTGGAGTTCCAAATTACAATGAAATGGCTATCCGTATCGTTAGATTTTCAATGATGATCCAACATTGATCTACTTCATGATCTCAATTACAAACCGAACAATCTTCCCGAGCTTATCATGACGAAAAATTGTGATTTATTTAAATCCTATCAAAAACAGAAAAAAAAGTTATGATTATTATAACCCCTCCCCCCGTCGATTTACGAATCATAAATTCTTCTTTTTTTCGTTACTATTTCTTATACAAATGTAATATATGATTACGCAACATGCTTTCTTTGAACATTCCCCCCCCCAAAAAAAAGAGAGAAAAGGAACCATGTTTATCGCAGTAATACAGAAAAGAAAAGAAAAAAAGGGGGGGAAGAGGAAAAAAAGACGATGATAACAAATTTAATAAAAATGTAAATGAACCATGACATAACTTACCCATGCAATCTTGATTGTTTCGATATTGAGTGAAGATAATCACCAATGTTTTATTGATGGTAACCATATAGTGTAATGAAGTAAATGGACGGTGGGGGGAGCAAAGAAAAGAATATACAATGAAAATGAATGCTAAAGTAAATATGTATGAAAATTTTAGTAAATGGATTAAGCTGAAGAGTTTTGTACTAAGACGAAATGGTTGTCTAATACTACCAGATTTTTAATAGTGGTCTAACTTCAATTGACTCATGATCTCAACTATTGAAATGACTATAATATACACAAAAACCATTTATGATATGAGTCAATATATGCTCACTAGTGACAATCTCCAAGTGGTATTTTCTGGAGTTCTAGTGAGAAGTAGTGACCAGTGGAGTTCAACTGGGTCTGTTGTGAGATAATAACTCATTGAAAACAATGGTGGATGGTGTCATTCAATTTGGTGGATTAGTGAAGTTAAACATTAATATCGTTGGATGCCATCAGTTTCAGTGGTTTAGATATTACGCTTTGATGCACAAGACCGATAGATTCTGAGTTGGAATGTCACGTGGCGGAGTCTTGGATGAGCACTGTTTAGAAGTATAGTGTTTCCAGGTTTTCCATGATGACCTAGCCTCAATTAACCCTTGAATTCAACTATTTAAAAAAAATGATTGCACAATATCGTAGATTGGTTAACGTTAGACATGAATATAGTTGGATTCCGATCCAGTAAGTTTGAAGGTGAATCATTCACGTGTGAGATCGAAGGGTCTAGAGTTCAAAGTCTCGCTTATGAAATCATAGATGTGCACTGCTATGCAGTCTTATATATAACGATAAAACAGTTATCAAATGTTTTCAGGTTTTTCAATGATGATCTAATATTGATATCGACTCATAATTTCGATCAAAGTCGACGATTTCTACAATTTAATGCTAAAAATAAACTCAAATAAATCAATATATAAGTGTACATACGTATTGTGATAAGTGTTTCTTAATTTCATCATTTATATTTAATATAACTTGTAATGAACCTAGTTTGATCAACTATCTGATTTAGATGTTCTAAAGGTAATAGTTATTGATCATTCTCTGTTTTGGTAGTATAAATATTCATAATATCCTATTTGAACTCCACTGGTCACGGTTTCTTACTAGAACTCCAGGATATACTTCTTGAAGCCAGTTACTAGTGAGCATATGTTGATTAATATCAGAAGAGGTTTTGAGGATAATATAGTCACTTCAGTAGTTGAAATCATGAATCAATTGAATCTAGATCATCATAGAAAACCTAGAAACACTTGATGACCATTTCATTCTATTGTGAGACTTCTCAACAGTGAACACCCACGATCCCGCACCCCGAGAGATTCGAAACCTAGGACCTATCAGTCTTGCGCCAGGAGAGTCCCATACTAGGACGAAATGGCCATCCAGTGCTTCTAGGTTTTCCATGGTGGTCTAGCTTCAATTGATTCATGATTTCAATCAGTGAAACTCCTAAAATCTCCACAAAACCCCTTCTAATATATATATATATATATACATGCAATAGTTTTATATAGTCTCTTAAATCCATCTACATCATTAGTAGTAGTATTTCCACAATCACATTCACGACTCGAGTCCCGCATGTATGATGATGGAATCGTACTATGAAGAAGTTCTACAATACGAGGACGAAATATCCTATCCAATACTTCTTTGTCTAACTTAGATCAACTCATCAATTTAAAAGGAAATGTAATACATTTGATTACCTGTTTAATTTCTTCTATAAATAATGTAATTACCCAAGCAATAACAACATATTCAACAACTGTGATATTGATTCGAAAATCAACTAATAATAAATAACTGAATAAGATGAGAAATGTGATGTATGAAATCTATAAAGAAAAAAGAAAAAAGAAAAGAAAAAAAGGAGAGACTCTAATTTATGAATGAGCCAATCAGAGGGGTTTGAAGTATTTCAAGGTTACGGCGCCAATTTCAGTGCTTAATGCTAACGTACGATCGGTTCACAGAGAATTTTGTACAAAACGTGATAATTGAGCGGCTATAACAAATAAAATGGCGAGACTATAATTTGTGGACGAATCAATCAGGTATAAGATGATAGATCTCGGATTTTAACGCGAAAGCCTTTCATTCATTTGGCTAAATAGATTTCTGGCATTATAGCTGATGTCAGTTCGTGATGAAAACCCTATATGTAATTCCTAACTAAAGCAAATTATGACAAATATTGCGAACTGGATAATAAAAGCACCAGTAACACTGGCTGCAGCCACGTACTACAATATATACGGATGATTGGAGAGCGTACAGACTCCTACACGGGTTCGGTCATGTGCATCGTGTCGTTATCCACAAGTGGTATTTTGTGCACTCAACAACCGGAGTGCACATAAACAATATTGAAGTTATATGATCGAGGCTGAAAGAGTATTTGAGACTTTATGATGGCTCCAGAAGCCGACTATTCTGTAGCCATATGGTTGATTTCCTCTACTGTATTCATTATGATTTTAATACCTCTGAACCTCTTTCTAACTTTGAAAAGTTTTTGAACCACGTCTAAGAAGTGTATCCACTTTATTTCTTTGGTTTTGTATAATATATTTTTACTCTATATTGACTGTTTGCTGATTGGCTAATATCTCTCATGATCGCTTAAGATTCGTTCAAAGGTTGTCCATAAGTAGTTAGGGTCTCGCCGTATATTCTTTAGTGATTATCAATGTTAAAATGATCATCTATGTAATAAAACTATGATGAATAGGCAGATTGAGTTAATTTTAAAAGGGTATTCCTAGAATTTAAGTAAGAATTCATAACCAGTAGGGTATAACTAAAGTCAGATATGAGGTGATGATTCATCAAAGGGATTGAAAGATAAGTGAAATATAATCCAATTTATCCTAGTTCAGATGGCTAATTGTCAAGTGGTTGTTATCATATCTGAGGGTTATGTATTCAATCATTGTCATGGATAGATAGATGTTCAGTACTTTTGGTCTTCAATCAAACCAGTCCATGATGTACATTATGAAAGAATATTTCAGATATCGTTTTACATCCCATGGTTAAATTCATATCTGCCTATCTATCTTATCTGAAGGTCTGATCCACAAAGCAGTGGAGCAACGTTAGGAAATGCAGTTCTATGGTAGCGGGTGATAAACAATTGGTTCATAATTCATCTGGCCCCTTAGAATCCTGGAGCCCACATCCACTATCGGTTTGGTATCAGGGTTTTCCAACTCCCCTAGGTAAACTCACCATGTCCACAAACCTGAATAAAGCGCTGGACATTCGCTTTTCGTCTTCTCAATTTCGTAAACAACACCCCTGCTGCGAGAATGAAATGAGTAGGACTTCTCTGATAGTGACTGTATAAGTGACCTTGAGAGTGTCCACCTAGTAACTAAGACTAAATGAAGGTTATAAACTAGTGTGAGGAATGAGAATTATAATTTATAGTATGAGTATTACCGAAAACAAAGAAAGTTGTTAACTTACAGTATTATACACAAAACGAACAACTGGTGCCATATAAAAGTCACGAATTTGTGAAATATATTCCAAAGTTCTAGCTTGTAATGTTTTCCGAACACTGAAATATAATAAAATCAGGATTTTTACTTTAAAAGAGTCGATTTAGTGTAGTGTAAAGAAGAAAAAATGATATAATGATCAATGGAGTTCAGCCGTGTCTGGTGTGAGGTATTTACACACCGAAGACAATGGAAGATGGTCGTCCAATATCGTGGATTCATTGGAGTAAGACATTAACATCGTTGGACATTGACCTGCTCATTGGTCTAGAAGTGAAACATTCGTGCACGAGAATGAAGGTCTTCGGTTGGATTCCTTTCGGTGCGGGGTCGTAGATGCGTACTTCTGAGAAGTCCCATAATGAGACAAAATGGTCATCCAGCGCTTTCGAGTTCTTAATAGTGGGTAACACTGATTGGTTAATGATCTCAATTATAAATCAACAATTTACACAACCCTATACTGATAATTAATATCAGATTGACAACCATCCACTTCAAGACGATTATGATTGTACATTACCTAAACTATAATATCATACCTCAAAATCCTATGTCAATTACTCAATATGCTTAGATTAGGCATAAGTGAGTTAAAAGTCAAATAAACAAAAGACTTACCCTTTTTTACCAGCATCTTCTGCAGTTAAAACATATTTTAATGTATGATTATTTTGTGTAGATCCTTGTTGTTCCGAAGTAGGACTTGATTCCTAACATTATCAAAATAAACAGAAATACTGTCATATATTGTATACACATGAATAAGTCTCATGGGAACAAAATAAAAAAGAAATTAAATAGAGATATAATGTCAATTTCAACACCTAAAGCGATAAATATTTTTAACAGATTCCTATTGTCCAGTTGTGAACACTTACTACGATGGTGTGTGCTACTGATGTCAACATATATAAGTAGTATGTATCATCAATCGAAAGCGAAATGTCTGCAGGCAGAATGTTGAGAAGATCAAAGAAAAAAGAACGAGAACAGATAAGGATTGGTGTGAAAAGGAAGGAACAATGAAGTCTGAGATAATGGATTGAGAATTTTCTATATGGTTCTCAGAATTTATTAAGCGATTCTGTAATTTTGTGTTTAAATACATTTGGTTGTACCCCCCACCCTGTGTTCTCGTCCACTACACTAGTAACAATAATTGGGAAACTCTGAGAAAACCCATTTCTAGTGGCTGAATTGATACGCGGATATGCACTGCTAAGGAATCCCTCAAGATGACCAAATAGCCATCCATAGCTTTCAACGATGGTCTGTTTGTTTGATATATAAACCATTATGTTTGAAATATATAATTCGCATAGTGGAAGCTGGTATCGGTGTTCTGGACTCAAGTGGACGGGCTAGGCGGACATAGGACCAATAATGACGCTAGGCTGCTCATACCGGTCGAACATCATTGGTTTGGCACTGTGCTAAGATTGTATAAGTCGTATTTTGATTGGTGGATAAATCACATGATAAAAAGCCGGACATGAAGTCACAACAATGCGTAAATATAACATTCTATGATCGGAACTATTTTTAAATATTTGATAGTAGCATCAACGTCATTGATTAACTATTCATTATCTGTAGGAGGATTTGTAGAGAATGTAGTAATTTCATAGTTGAATTCACGAATCGATCTAAGCTAGGCCATTATTAAAAACCTGGAAGCACTGGATAGCCTTTTCGTCCTGTTATAAAACTCTTTAGCAGTGTAAATTCATGATACCCTATGTGAGACTCGAACCGAGGACTTTCAGCCCCGCACTCGAACACATAACCTCTAAACCACTGAACCCAGTATTTTCAGGGTTTAAATGGTAGTCTAACATTGATCAGTTTATGATCTCACTTAAAACTCAACAATCTCCACAACCTTATACTGATAGCTGACTTTTCGTTCAAATTAGACATTCGTACAATACGTTTACACTTAAACATTCTATAAGTTAAAAGATAGAAAAGACATATCTTACTTCTCCTTCTGTAGTTGGAATTGTTTTAGGCTTGGATAATATAACTTTTGGTATTAAAAATGGTAATGTCAATCCACAAACCACCCCCATAATATACTAAATATTAAGAAAAACAAATAAAAAGAAGCTAATTCAATTAATGTAAATGAAACTACTGATTATCGTAATTAGTAACATACCTGTTTTTCAACAAAAAAATAAATTCATAATAATTAGGTTGAAGTTTAACAACAATGTAATTTCATCAAAGTACTAATGTTTTAGGAAGACAATAACGCTAACAGTAACAAACACTCTTATTGTAGTATATACTACTTATGTTGACCGTTATAAGTAGCAACTAGCATTAATCGGATATGGAATGCCCGTCAGCAGAAGAGTGAATCGTTTGAATTGAAAAGAACAGGAAAGAAAACAGAATGTAATTGTAATAACAACAGAATTGAAAGAATCATGAAGCAAGTGAAGGATAACTGAAGGAACATATACAAAAAATGTAGTCCCATGGTATCCGGTTACCAACAATTACTTCATAAGTCATTTGTTCCCTTAGGATCCAGAAGCCCAAAACATCAACATGAAAACCACAACAACCAAGAAAACTCTCCTTATGAACGTTCAGTTTTGAAAGAGTATATTCAAAAGGAACCGAAGGAAAGATAAACTCAATTAAACCTTTATCGTCAAGGTTTAGGTGAATGTACTTCGAAGACACAACAGACAATGAACTATTTGACCTCCGAATGATAATCCCAAAAATTGGCTATTATACTAGGCTCACTGAGTGAGACATTAGACCTGAATCACAATCTACAAGACTTCACACGTTTCATATGAAAACTTTCTTTGTGAATATTCAGCTCAAGTGAGATACTTCTGAAGGAATTTCGAGAGTGATCTAACGAATTCCTTAAGAAAGGCTTTTTACGATCAAAAGCCTCTCATCGTCGTTTCCAGTCACCGTGTCGTTCGTGAATGTGTGTAGTACCAACCCACTCATTGGTCCTCATCATTATGTCCACTTACTCTTGTGATGCAGGTTACACAGACTGAAAAAGGTGAGAACTCTGTAAAGATCTTCGAACATTATCATGAGTAGATTTCGAAGGATAAATGTTCAATGTTAGAACGTTTTGTGAACTCTGATTACACAGCCTCATCTGACAAATCTTTTAAAATTATCTACACAGTCAAATGATTTGATTTGTTAGGAACAAAAATTTATAATTTATACGCTTTAAAGGCAATAACAAACTATCTTTTCAAACTGCTAGGGTTGAAGCTATCACGAGTTCACTTAATCTGCGAACGAGAAACAAGATTCGGTGACCAAAGACCAGTAAGCTAGCTATTGATGCGTCCCAGCCCCGCTAACTAGAGGGAGAAGTCCAAGCTTGGAATGGGGAAGTATGTTCTGCAAATCAACCAGAAACGAGCTATAACAACAAACACAATTCAAAACGTATATATACAGTACAAAACCGTCCTTGGAGAGAGTTACCAAATAGCATACTAAAAGACGCGACGGACCAGTAGCATTTAAGATATTTCCCAGTGGGAAATACGACATGAAGGTGACAAAAGCGCCTTTGGCGCGAAAACAAAGAAATCCAAATTTTCTAAATAAAATTATAAAGTGAGGTCCTTGTCCAAGTGAGTTCTGGGGATCTAACGTTCCCAACACAAACTCTGCATGCAAAAAATGGCACATTCAAGTTATCATCCTTCCATTGGCTTTACCACTTGATTTTCATAAACTGTTATAGTATTCTTGAAAAGAAAACTCTTTTGGCCAAATCACTTTTCAAATTTAATAGCTGAGATCATGAGTCAATTGAAGCTAGATCACTATGGAAAATATGGAAGTAGTGGATGGCTGTTTCGTCCCATTGTAAGTCTCCTCAAGTTTTCAAATGTTGAAGATCTACAGCTCAGATCGGTACTTTTCATAGCGTTTCACTGATTGAGCTAAATAGTTTGATAATGATGCTTTCATTGTTCTTCTGAACTATATCATCAGCACATACTTCAAAGTAGAAGTGGAATACTATCAATCTCAATCTTGACGAACTATAAGTTGATAACTATAAATCTTAATCAATAACATTGATTTTATATTACAAAATCTATAATTACCCTAAATACACTATTCTTAGTTGATAAATTACCGCTCCATGTATTTGTAAGAAAATCTTGACAACATGGATGTGCCATAAATTTTATACTTTGACCTTCAGCAGCTAATTTAATTACTGAACTACGACCATAATAAATTAATTCATGATTAATAATTAATTGTGTTCTATGTTCATCTTCACGATAACATTCATTCAAGACACCTTCAGCACGTTCTTGAAAGTTTCTATGAGGAAAGAAAAGAAAAAAGGGGGATGATTACCAAAGTTCAATTCATGAGTCGATCTAAGTAAGACCAACATTGAAAACTTGGAAACATTGGACAGCTGTTTCGTCTTAGTATGGGACTTCTCAGCAAAGTGCACTATAGGGGTCTGAACCTAGGACCTTCAGTCTTGTGTCCAAATTCTTAACCTCTAGATTAATAATATAATCTTCATAAATTCCCCTCATTCACACTATAATATATAATATACCCTTGTGGGCCAGGGTAATTTTACATTGGTTTTCAGGAGAACCAGACACCATCCGGACTTTCATGTGACAACCCAGACAGTACAGCTCAACCCCATTTAGCAGGAGAACCAGACACCGTATAGGCTTTAACACTACAATCTGAATAGTACTGCTCAATCCTGTGGCGCATCCACACAGGTACCAAGCACTCTTGTGGACCAAATAGCATATGTCATTAGGTATTGATTATTGAATATTTGAAGGGATATTTTGTGGATATTGTAGTAATTTCAATAGTTGGTATCATGGGTCAATTGAAGCTAGATCATCATGGAAAACCTGCAAAAACTTGATTTCTCAGAGTTGCACATCTGAGATTCCCCTGAGTGAGATTCCAACTTACGATCAATCGGTCTCGCGTGCCAACGCTTAACCTCTAAACCACTGAAATTGATGGAATCCAACGGTGTTAATGTCTAACTTCAACTAATTTACGAAATTAAGCGACACCATCTACCATTGCTTTCAGTGAATTATTATCTCACAACAGACCCAGTTGAACTCCATTGGTCACTGTTTCTCACTAGAACTCCAGGAAATACCTCTTGAAACCAGTCATTATTGAGCATACGTTGATTGATATCAGAAGGAATTTTTTGCGGATATTATAGTAATTTCAATAGATGACATCATGAGTCAATTGAATCTAGATCATCATGGAAAACCTGGAAGGACTGAATATTTCATTAGGTCAATCTTTTATAATCTTAGTCATCCTGATCAGGATGTTACTGACATAAAGTTTATTTTATTCAGGTAATTCTTTATTCAAAAATTTATGAATTTTTTCTTAGTGACTTTTATACATTACTTGATACCATAAACAGTTAGACATTAAAACATCGTTGGATCTTAGTTTAATAGATTAGAGGTTAAACATTTAATGTTGAGACCTAATCTCTTCAGTTCGATTCCCTATGATGATGATTGCGCTCTGATGAATAGTCCTATACTAGAATGTAACAACCATCCATTGATGGTTACCTATCTATTCCGGTCGTTATCTTCGTATTTCAACAAGTTATTCGTTTTTGTTTTGTTTGTTTGTTTGTTTCAACACATCATTATTGTCTATTAATCGTATATCCTATTCAAGTGTGTTTATCAAAACCTTATGACCTTTCTCAGTACAACTTACAATAAAGTACAGTTATCATCATAGATATTGTGCTGGGGGGCAGTCAATATGCATTGTAAACAAGGAACACTATTCAGATATGAATTCATGAATTGCTAACATGGAACTTATGGTCACTCAGTATTTATCATCAGGATCCATCAACAATTAAGTAAAGTGAACTTGTTGAAATACTTTGTTCAGTGAATTCTATGTTGTGCCAAAAACTATAATGCTGAATTAATCCATGAACAATCATTATGATCAAATTGGAATGGATATATGACAATAGAATACGGTAAAAATACAAATTGTAAGATTCAGTACAGCGTAACTATTTGAATTAACATAAACTTGTAGTGGTTTTCCTTCGATAACCGATCACCTTCGTAAACGTTATAATATAAATCTCAACGATGTTTAAAATCAGAAAGTAAAGAAAAGTGGCAACTACAGTTGATTAGCGGATAGCACAAATCACAAAGTTATAAGCACATCGAGTAAATTTGAAGCGGAGAGGCGAATAAGCAAATCCATAAGCAAAGCAAAGGCTAATGATAGGATTTGAGTACATGCATACATGGAGGGGGTGGACGAATGGTCGAGTGATATTTAAGCAATCAACATTTTAGCTAGAGTCTGTGTCATGTGCTCTAGTTGATCATAACGGTGCAAAGGAATATGCGAATTGTTACCATTCAAATAACATTGTCTGTTAAGTAAGTTAATAAAAGTGCTTAACCAAAATTAACTATAATCGAAATTGGTTGTAGGATAGTTGTTATAATCGGCGAGATTGCAATTTATGGACGAACCAATCTGATATCAGATAATAGGTCTCGGATTTCAGCGCGAAATTCACTCATCCATTTGGCTAAATAGAGTTTTGGCACTATTGCTGATGTTAGTTCGTGATGAAAACCCTTAAATCGAATTCCTAACCACTAACCATCAACTGTAAATCATAATTCTAATTCCTCACACAGGATTATAACCTTCATTTGGTTCTGGTTATTAAGTAGACACTCTCGAGGTCAGTTCGGCGTCACCCAAAGGTCGTCCATAACTTATAGTGTCATCAAATAATCTATTTTATAATACAATACAATATACTTACTTTGCAAAGCTTCTATAGTCTTCTTTATCAGTAAAATCATCTGTTTTATTCCCTAACGATGTCAATAGAATTGAAGCTAATAGAGCAGCTGCGATAGGTTCCTGGAAAATAAATACAGATAATAGATTATATTAACAGTATAAGGTTGTGCAGATTGTTAAATCTCATTGAAATGAAAGAACTGAATAATGTCAGATTACCGTTAGAAACCTCATAGTACTTGTATGGGATTCCTTATAAGTTTGTATCCAGGACCATGCAAGCAGGAACCGAACTCAGGAACTTCGCTCTCGCCCTCGAACACTTGACCCCTAGACCACTGAGTCGGCATCCAACCCCAATAATTTGAAGCATACAACGAATATTCATTTAGCTCCACAACGAAAAACATGCATTATTCAAGAGAATTTATAAAAGAAGAAGCTCTGAGGGATCTATCAACTTCTATCTTGTGTTCGGTGCTTAGCCTTTAAACATTGAAGCACTATTCATCCAAACCATTCAAAAATTGATTATTCTGCTAACTGAATCATCAATTCGATAGTTCTAATAAACCCAGACTATATTTACATGACAATTTGAATCGAAGTGCAAAATCAAGGATTTGTTTGTCTCCCAAAATAAATCAAAACGATTCATGAGAATGTACTACTATTTATACGATTTATTTGCAATTTGATTAAGAGTCACATTTGTATAAGATAGACTGAGTTGTATTTTTACAGATGAATTCATGAGTCGATCTAGGCTAGACTTTCATTGAAAACCTGCAAGCCATTGACGAACGTTTCGTCGTAGTATGGACTCCTCAGAAGTGCACGTCCATGATCTTACACGAGGGAATTCAGCTGTGAAAATACTACAATCTTCGCAAATTCCTCCGTGTAGTCGTATTTATTAAAGGCAATTCAATAACCTACCATGTGAAATAAAGCTATTAAAACAGTAATCGAAAACTTATGTACAAGCGAACAACACGGATGTTTCCATGTTGAGCTTTACATCATGGTCAGAGGTCAATTTAAGAAAATTGTAATGAGCAAGGAAGTGTATTGAGTTACCCCTACTCTTATGTCCAATAGTTGGTTTGTTTTAACTAATTACAATTAGGAGTGAACAGACAGCTTTCACATTTGACAAATCCATCTCACAGGTTCAAGTAAGGCTGACGACAACAGTTTTAAAGATGCGTTTAGTACGATGAGCCATTCACTTTAAGCTTTAACAGGTGTCTACTTCAGTACAATGGAAGATGGTCGCACAACTTGAGGTTAGACATTAACACCATTGGATGACGGCTCAGTGGTCCGGTAGGTTATGCGTTAGCGCGCGAGACCGAAGGTCCTGGGTTCGAATCCCTTCGGAGCAGGATCGTGGATGCACACTGCTGAGGAGTCCCACAATAGGACGAAATGGTCGTCCAGTGCTTCTAGGTTTTCAATGGTGGTCTAACATCAATCGGTTCATGATCTCAATCAGAAAAAAAACTTAACAATCTCCACAACCCCTAAAATGATGTTTCCTATAAATATTGAGAAGAACTCAAAATAATTTAAATCATGGCCTTGATGTATACTGTCTTTAATAACATTTCTGTAGGTGTAGGTGTTAAAAAATGATACCGGAAATCATCTGGTGAAGTCAGTTTATCTATTCTGCAAGTGGTCCCCGTGTTTCAAGGCTTACGAGCACACCACGCATATACGATTTCGTGGATGAATTGGAGCCCCTGGGTTTTGACGTGCGGGTTCCTCATGAGGGGTAAGTATATGACACGTGCACATCGGTAACATATAAATTCACAGTAATGAATCCTACATAATACATACAGATATATTCATCTACTTGGAAATGTAGATAATCACCATTTCCTTACATGTATTTGCTATAACTGACTATCTCTTATGTATTGCATCCATACCACTGGTGCAATGACTTTCGCCTGTGTGCTTCATAACATATGCATAAGTATAAGCACTGTCGGGAAGGGATGATAGTCACTTCTCCATATCTTTTTATTTTGTCTTCAACTTGTTGGACTAGGTCACTGATTTGATTAGACATAAGACAGAGTCTGGTGCGTACAATTTGCGTATAACTAAGTACACAATTACACAATCCGAGACTCATATTTAAGTATACACATTGAGCAGTTCGCAAGAATTGTGACCTATGAATTAGTTCGATCTCCATCAACCACCCAGGTTAGCTACTAAGATTCCTTCTAGTACTCGGTACCAACTTGCATACTAGATAAAATATAATCTAATAAACAATAATAATAATAAAGTAAATAAGATTCTTATTACTTTTTCCATAGTCCAAAATAATTCAGCCATACGTAGTTTACCAACTAATATAGACCATATTAATAGTTCTCTAGCTGGACGATCCAATTGAATTGATTTTGTTTGTTCTTCATCTAATTAAATCGTTTGTGTTTGTGCATGTGTATAGTTCAGATAATAACACAAAGTCAATAACCAATAATATTGTATTCAATAGATTGAATTTGGGAAAGCCAAAATAGAGACGTCAGATTTCCAGTTTCATGAAGAAACGAACAGATAGGAAGCAATGAAACCAAAATAAATAAAAAAAACACAAAAAAGAGGACAAAGAGAGGTGGTATTAAGTTAAAGAATCGTACTAATTCTAAGTATAATCGTCAGTAGTTTTGTTAATTCAACATGTTACTAAGCCAAATATATATATATATATATATATATATATATATATATATGTATATACACAATTCTACACAGAACAATTACAATTAGGTTCTCGTCAAAAATAAAACTAACCATTTGGTTAATCATTATAAGAGTTTACGTAAGAATTAGGTTTGATACAATTCAATGATTAATACACACAAATACATACATACACGTACACATACACATAAATGTAAAAAAAAAGGGGGAGGAACAAACATGTCACTAAGATGATAAGTGAAGAGGAGCGTTGGAGGATGAAGGCAGGGAGGGAGAGAGAGAGAGGGGGGAGGGAGGGAAGATAATAAACTGTTCATTCAAGAAATATTCATGATTAATGATCGTGCAAAATTCAATAATCGTTCAGTAATGTTTACCATTTTCTTTTCTTTTTAATTGCCGTGCATAAAGATAATTAATGAGTCTCAATATTAATAGAAATGGAATGAATGAATAATACTGAGCTTAAAGTTATAGATTCAGTGAAAAATGCAAAATACTTATACAATTACTTTACCTATAATCAATTTTATAATAGCCAATAATGAAAACTATTTTGATTAAAGCAAAAAAAAATATTTCACTGATTGGAATCATGAGTCAGTTGAAGCTAGACCACCGTGGAAAACCTGGAAGCACTGGACGGCCGTTTCGTCCTAGTACAGGACTCCTCATTAGTGCGAGATCATAGATGTGCACTGTTTTTATTCATTGTAACGACGTTTATCTACTGTATATGTATAAGAACAGTAATAGCATATAATGAATTAAATTATGTCATTTATTTTATGTAGCAGAAACTGGAATAAATACGAAAATCATTACCCAGAAGATAGAGATGTTTATTCACAGTTGCCTACGCAAAATACTTCGAATTCGTTGGCCAAATACTATCAACAACAACAACAACAACCTAGTATGAGAGAGAACAAACCACATCACAGCGGAAGAACCAATCAAGAAGAAGCATTAATGAATGGATAGGACATACATTGAGTATAAAGTACTCAACTATGTTATAAGATAAACTCTCATCACTTGAAATCCTCAAAATCAAAAGAACAAGAATAAGACCAATGAAGAACATATTATACCGAGAAATAGAAAAAAAATAGGAAAAGAATGAACAACAACTGAATATTTTCTTATTGGGATCATGAAGCAATTGATGTTAGACCACCATTGAAAACCTGGAAGCACAGGACGGTCATTTCGTCCTATTGTGGGACTTCTCAGCAGTGCGTATCCACGATCACACTCGCGGTATTCCAAATCAGGGCCTTCATTCTCGCGCGCGAACGCTTAACCTACTGGACCATTCAGCCGGCATCCAATGGTGATAGTGTCTAACATCAACCAATCCACGAAATTGCGTGACCTATTCTAGTAAACAATTGAATGGAACAAGAAATGATGATCTCAAACACAATGGGTTCAATTTAATTTAACAATCATCAATCTTTCTTTTTTTTGTCTGTTTTCATTTCATAGAAATTAAGATAAACAAAAAATAATATTTTTCTTCCTTTCTCTCTTTCATGTTCTTTTTATTTTCATGCAATCATTGTAAATACATCAACCATTGAATAATTAAATCTATTTTTAATGGAATACATTTCATGTAGCCATGGTTACAATGAAGATTGTATTTGAAAAAAAAAGAAGAACACAACTAAATAGACAGGGGGGAGACAGTTTATTAAATGTAATTAATTAATTAATTAATTGGTAAGACAAGACAATCTCACAAATACGTTTAAATTTATAGGGGAATATATATATATATATATCTATACAGTAAATATAAGACAAACAAACAAACACATACACACACACGCACACACACTACGCACACGCACACACACACCTAGGGAGATGACTTTAATGATGAACATGCACAACTGGTTTTTTTCTTTTTCTTTTTTCTTCTTTTTCTTTTCTTTTCTTTTTGTTTTTCTTTATTTTTTCTTTTAATTTAATTCATGAAATAACTTTTAATTTGTTTTTTCTTCGTTTTTTTCTCTTTTTTTTCTCCAAAAAAATATTTTAAATGACTAACTTGTTAGTTGAATGATAAAAAACATAAATGAGGAAAGATTAAATTCATAGAGAAAGAAAGAAAGAGAGAAAGAAAAGAAAAACAAAACGAAAAGTAACACTTACAATCTTCTGTAACCATATCAGGATGATCTAGATGCATCATTTTAACTGTAAGAATACATATTTGTATATACATATAAATATAATTACGTAAACACTTCTAGGATAATATGAATTACATTTATAATCTGTATAAATATGTCATACATAGGAGGTAAAACCCAGCTCACACGTCCTCATTATACCTCTTAGATAGTGAGACTTGTACCATAAACTTAAATGAGCGGTAAACTGAATGGGAGAGATTGGACTAATCAATCATTTGACCGATACCCATAAACGATTACAAGTGATACAAAAATGTCATAAATACAGGCGAGACTCTAATTTATGGACGAGCCAATCAGAGGCGTTTAAGAGATTTCAAGGTTATAGCGCCAACTTCAGTGCTTAATGCTAACGTACGATCGGTTCACAGGGAATTTTGCACAAAACGTGATAACTGAGCGGCTTTAACAAAAAAACGGCGGGACTATAATTTGTTGATGAATGAATCAAGTATAAGATAATAGATCTCGGATTTTAACGCGAATGCCTTTCATCCATTTGGCTAAATAAATTTCTGGCATTATAGCTGATGTCAGCTCGTGATGAAAACCTCATATATAATTCCTAACTAAAGCAAATTATGACAATTATTGCGGACTGGATAATAAAAGCACCAGTAACACTGGCTGCAGCCACGTACTACAAAATATACAGATGTTTGGAGAGCGTACACACTCCTACATAGGCTTGGTTATGTGCATCGTGTCGTTATCCACAATTAGCATTTTGTGCACTCATCAACCGGTGTGCACATAAACGATATTGAAGTTATGTGGTGGATGCTGAAAGAGTATTTGAGACTTTATCATGGCTCCAGAGGCCGACTAATCTGTAGCCATATGGATGATTTCCTCTACTGCATGTATTACGATTTTAGAATCTCTAAACCTCTTTCTAACCTTGACAAGTTTTTGATCCACATATACGAAGTGTATCCACTTTATTTCTTTGGTTTTATATAACATCTTTTTACTCTATACTGACTATTTGCTGATTGGCTAATATTTCTCATGGTCGCTGAAGATTCGTTCAAAGGTCGTTCATAAGTAGTTAGGGTCTCGCCTAAATATATTCTGAAGGATCTTGTATTGTAATATTATTTACATGTATCACTCACATGGATCACTCACTTAGTGATCAATCAATTTGAAGTAATACTAAACAAACACAAACCAAACATTTATAATCAGTATAGAATTGTATAGATTGTTAAATCATAATTGAGATCATGAACTGACCAATGTTGATTAACCATTATTGAATACTTGGAAATACTGGATGGTCACTTCGTTCTAGTATAGAATTTCTTAGCAATGAGCATCCACGCATCCTGTATCAAACCCAAGACCTTTGATCCCCTTCAAATGAATGTGTAACCTCTAGTTCATTAAGTTGACATCAATGAACCCATAATACTACATGACCAATATTCTATTGTCTTCAATGTTTAACTATCATACATTTGATACAGTTGAATTTCACTAGTTTTCAGTGATAGTCTAACATTGTTTAGATCTTGATCACAATTTAAGAAGGTTTCACAAATGTCACGTTTAAGATAGTAATGATAACTTATTACATCATATTGTCAAATATTACTCTACATGTTATATTATAATAAATACATAAAATAGAGTAAAATCGGGAGAAAGAGGGAGAGGGGAGAGAGAGAGGGGGGAATTACACAATGTTTCTTAATCACAATATAGAAACAAAAACAAACAAAAAACACATTAAAAGCTAACATTCACATACATAGAAATACAAGACAAGTTAGATGCAATTCAATAGATTAATCTATTCAATAAAACAATGAAACTTCTATTATGATCCTTAATCTTAGATACAATGAAGTAGTTAGTAATATTAGTAATATAAATATACATATTTATCAAAACAATGAATTCATTTCAATTCGAGCAAAATTACAAATGTAACCCCCTTCACTCTCTCTCACACCCACCCCTCTCTCTCTATCACCCTAGTTACTTGTTATTTATGGAATTAATAATTACATAACAATTATTTGTTATTTATACAATATAATAATGAAATAGTTCTATTATAATGCATGACAACATTCACTACTACCTGGTTCAAAGAAATTTGATGGAATTAATAAATCTGAAAATAGATTGTAGATATTAAATTATCGAATAATAATAATAAAGATCAATAATAATAATAATAATCATAAAAACATTGCAAAAATCGATTATTGACTAATACATGATATGTAGAAGGGGAGTCGATGCTCTTTCATGAGGAGTAACAAGAGTAAGTAGGTAAGTTAGTAAGTAATTAAGCATTGTGTTCACTTTTAATATCAGCTTGAGATAAACACTTGCTGAGAGGATTAATGTTATAACGTTCGTTTTTCTTCATCTACACGAATGGGATGTTAATGTACCATCTTAGACGAATATCTACAGTAGATTCTCTTCCAGTGTCTATTCTACTGGATTTCAACACAACTCAGATCAACAATACATGATTCGTTTAACTAGAACGTAGATATATATCCACATTCAAAAACTGATAACAATCCAACACAATACAACACATGTAGAAGAGGGGTTGATAATCTTCTATGAGTGGTAACAGGCGTAAGTAATATTTTTTAATATCAGCTTGGAACAAACATTTGCTGAGAGCATTAATGTTATAACACTTGGTTTTCTTCGTCTACATGAATGGGATATTCATTTAACTTAGACGAATATCTATACTAGATACCCTTTCAGTGTCTATTCTACAGGATTTCAACACAACTCAGATCAAGAACACATAATTAGCTTGACTAGAGCGTAAATACAATTCCAAATCCCAAAACCCGACACAATCCAACAACAATGAACAATCAATAATAATTATTATTATAAGGATAGGGGAATGTATAACTCATCTAAGACCTATCAGACTATCTATAAATTTGACTAAGCAAACAACCTAATCATTATCATACTCTCTCACATATCAATGGAATTCATTTATCTAATACTGTCAGGCAAATACACACTGAAAGGACTATATTTATTAACAAAGAACACTTCAATTTGAGCTAAGATATTATATTGTATTCAACTTCCTTTAATCATAATTGGTAACATGTTATTCTAATTACTTGAATTAGAAAGAACTAACGATCATAGAAGAAAAAAATAAAGATGGATTCATGAATTAAGTGATCTCGTTTACGACTTAGAATCAACTTCATTAACCACCTGGAACTCCTCTGGGACTATTGGCGATCACAAGTCCGGATAAATGAGGTGAGTTGTGCATAGGGTTAGCTACCCCACTCTGTAGAAAACTAACCCGTTTTAAAAAAAGGAAAACGCTAACCAGAAAAATAAACTCATTCAAAACATACAATCGATTTACACATTGATGTACAGTCATAAACGACGACAAATAGGAAGGTGTATATAAATGAGCAATTATGAATGTAAAAATACAACCTGATAAGATATGGTGACAGATATGTATCGTCATCTATTGTTAAACACATAATGAAACCAGATATAAGTTTGATCTTAACTACGGGGCTTTTGTGGTTAAGCACATAAGATTTAGGTTATGATTAAATTCAAAACCATTTAGTGTATTCAAACAAAGAGTTTATTGACATTGTAAACCTAATCTGGTAACTGCTAGGGTTGAAGTTATCACGAGTTCACTTAATCTACGAACGAGAAACAAGATTCGGGGACAAAGCCCAGTAAGCTAGCTATTGATGCGTCCCAGCCCGCTAACTAGATTGAGAAGTCCAAGCTTGGAATGAGGGAGTATGTTTTGCAAACAGCCAGAAACGAGCGATAACAACAAACACAATTCAAAACATATATATATATAGTACAAAACCGTCCTTAGGGAGAGTTACCAAATAGCATACTAAAAGACACAACGAACCAATAGCATTTAAGATATTTCCCAATCGGAGATACAACATGAAGGTGACAAAAGCGCCTTTGGCGTGAGAACAAAGAAATTCAAATTTTCTAAATACACTTACAAAATTAGGTTTTTTCCCAAGTGAGTTCTGGGGATCTAACGTCCCCAACAGTAACATATTTCTATTACTCGGTAGGCTTGCTTGAATATCCGAGCTACTTGTTCCTATCATCTAGACATTTCAACAAGTGATCTGTTTGTGTTTGTTTGTTCGAACACGTCATTATGTCTATTAATTACATAACTTATTCAGGAACGTTTATGAGAAAAGTTTACGACTTTTCTCTGTATAACTTACAATAAAGTTCAATCATCATCAGAAACATCGTGGTGGTTGGTATCAATATGCATTGAAAACAATGAACATCATTCAGATGTCGATTCCTGAACTACTAACATATAACTTAGAATCATTTAATATTTACCATCAAGATCGATCATGAAATAAGAAACTGAAACTTGATTGACATCATTAATCGATTAATGTTAGACCACGATTGAATACTTGCGAGCACTGAACGGCCGTTTCGTCCTATTATGAGACTCTTCAGCAGTATGCATCCATGATACCGCTCGTGGGATTCGATCGTCGATCCATACACAATGATGATTTACAAGTATGTATATGTAAAGAAAAAAAGCCTAATCTGCTTGATATTAGTTCATATTAATAAACTATCTTCGTATAAATGGAACATCTAGTTCTTATAAACTAAAATAACAATACATTAACAGATATTGTTCATTATGAAAGTATTTGATACATTCGTTTAATGGATCCATTAATGTAAAATTATTTACAAGAGTACATGAGGAGACTGGGTGGTCCAGATGACCGAGCGGTCCAAAGCGCTGCGTTCAAGTCGCAATCCACTTGTGAGCGTCAATTTGAATCCCACTCCTGACACTACATACATGAGGAGACTAATAATTTATGAACGATCTTTAAGCAATGCTAAAGTGATCTTGAGAATGTACACCTTCTTATTAGAGCTAAATGACGGTTATAAACCTGTGTAAAAAGTAAGGATAGTCATTTACAATTGATGGTTAGATTTAAGAACTAGATTTAGAGTTTTCATCATCAACTGATACCAGCTAAAATATCAAAACTCTATTTAGTAAAATAGATGAATGAATTTTGCGCCAAAATCTAAGATCTATTATCTTAAATCTGATTGGTTCATTCATAAGTAATAACCACCCAGTGATCAATCAATTGTGATTACATCTCAGTCCTACAGGAGGTTGGTCGTGGCCTGGATATCCAGTGGTAAAGTCTCTGACTGTAAAGCTGGGTGACATGGGATTGAGTCCTTCAAGGAGCACTAGTTCCCTTAAGACTACAGGTACACCTTGTTGATGAGTGCCAAAGAGCATGAAACCTGGGTCCAAGGTCTCCTGTTAACTACTTCCAACCACCATTCTATCACATTATATTAGTACCCTTTCTAGATATATCACCTTTAAAGGTAGTATGATTTGAAAGTTATAATCAAGTAATGATCGTTTTATAAGAAAGTACTACTCAATATGCCTATAATCATTTGATCGAGTACTTATTTCATTGGATACAGTAATAACTAGATACATTCAGCGTTACAAATAGTCTTATTCAGTGAACACATACGATACAGATATATATATATATATATATATATATATATATATATATATATATATATATATATATATATATATGGCTGGATAACATCAACAACAGCCTACTGTGGGAGAGAACAATCCAACTTCCAGTTGAGGAGGAAATTAAGAATGTACTCTGGAGTTGGATTGAATATTCATTATGGATATCTAGGAATTGTACCATTAGCCGAGCCCTAAACTAGAATCCTGACGATAAAGAAGTAAGAAAAAGGGTAAGATCAAAGAACATATTATGTTGGGAATTGGAATCAGATATAAAAAAAAGAGAATAACAACAGGGAACAATTGGAAAGGATTGTTCATGGATAGAGTTTGATAAAGAATGCTGGTAAGTAGGTGGCTTATGCACTTCAATAAGGGTTAACAAAAATAAGCATATAGGCAACACATAGATAACTATACTGTTAATCAAAACGTCTACTCAATATAACCAATAATAATTAAAGAAATGAAAAGTCATAAACAGTTGAAAGGTTAAATTTCTAAACTTATCTATGTTACAGTCAACTCCTTATCAAGATATATGCTTGGATGAAATGTCTTATGCATATGAATTGATTGAATTAACAACATTGAAAACATAAAGGATCTTGAATAACATTATTGTCTATTGAACGTCGGGAAATAGAAGCAGATATGAAAAAGGATGAATAGCAACTGAGAAGAGTTGGAAAGGGAATGCTCAGTACAGGGTTGGATGGAGAGTGTTGGTGAGCGGCCTATGCTCCTCCACGAGGAGTAACGGGCATAAGTAAGTAAGGAACTATTGAACTTAGTTATGTAAAAATTGTTAAAATTTCATCATGAAAATAAAGTTGAAAACGTTTTGTTTTAATAATGCTCGATTGCCTATACTCCATTAGGGGTCATAGACGTAAGTAAGCAGGTAAATAATAACAGTCATATACCATGAATCCAATTGATCAATTCACTTTATTAAACTAGATTTAGATGTACTACAAATAGAAAAATCAATTAACATAATTCAGGACGTGCGACATTTCGTCTTATTTGAACTCATCAGTTGGACGTATCTGCATTTCAGAGTTAATGTCCGCTCATGGACTCAAGCCCAGCACCGTTCGCCTCGAAAGTGATCGTGTTATCCGTTTAGATACTGAGTCCTAATAGACACTAACTTGTGCAATGGGGTGTACATATGCCAATAATAGATGGATCTATAGCATTTCTAAACATCAATGTGAAGATTTAAACAATCAATACAAAATGAATTAACATAATAGTTACTTACCTCCTGGAGAAGTTTTTGTTGGATCTGCTACAGCTGTTGCTGCTGTCGCTGCAGCTAATGCTGCCATTGCACGAAGAGTGGCAAATTCTTTAGGCCCTTTAATACCAGCCGGTTCTTGACTGACATTTAAACCTTTGTTCGATTTCTTTGAATCAGTATTACATCTGAATAATCGACTACAGAATGATGAAATTTTTTGTATACATGACATGAAACATGATCTAGATGGTTTATTATTTGCTTCATCTTCAAAAAGTACCGGTTTAATTGATTTTTCATTTTGTGTTGGAGAAATCAATACAGAATTACGTTGTACATGTTCATTGTCAAATGAAAATTGTAATGTATCATTTATAGCTGGTTTCGGTGATTGAATTGGAGTTGTTGTTCCCATAGAAGTGGTATCATAAGCTAATGGCGCTCTTCCAGCTATACGGAAATGACCTGGACCAAGACTTGTATACGCACCACGTGAACCATGGCCTGACCGACTAACATTAGTCACTGTTGCATTATATATAAGTGGTTGACCTGGTATCAACATATCATGTTCATTGGTTTGAGATGATGAACGTCGACCATGCTTATTTCGACTACCTTTTTAAACAAAATGGTTACATATATTTTTATACCAAAGTTAGTTAAAGAGAAGTGGTATGTATAAACATGGATAGAGGAGCATTGCAAAGTTTACGACTGGTAGAAAATATAGATAACTTAAAATAAATAATAAAATGTAGACCACTGACCATTGGTTAGATTGTTATCCATAAAAACAGTATATAATCCCACTTCTCTAACTAGGAGATTGCTTTTCTGAAGGAGTGAGATATTATAAGCACATTACTTTTTGATTTAGATCATGAATAGATGAATGTTAGACCACCATTGGAAACATGGAATCAATGGACAGCCGTTTTGTCCTCTTCAGTAGTGCTCATTCGCAATCCCTCTTGCGAGTCTGAAACACAAGACTTATCGGTCTCGAGCGTGAACGCTTAACTTTTAGACCATTAAGCTGGCATCCAAGGGTGTTAATGTCTGACTTCAACTAATCCACGAAGCTGCGCGACCATCTTCCATTGCACTGAGGTAGATACCGATTTCTACTCAACACGGATTAGATCCACTGGTCAAGGCTTCTGATTAGAACTCCGAGAATTCTGTCACGAAAGTAATCACCAGTGAGCACATGGCTACATTTAATAACAAGATAAGTCAGTTTAAATCTTTAGATTCATTTTTTTGATGAAATATGGTGTTTACAATTACTGTAACTCTTTCAGCGTCTGACTTCAATCATCAACATAATTTGTTCTCGGATCTTCCTCTTTCCCTTTTGTCTTCAAAAGTTCAAGTGAAGGCTTGGATCGTGAAGCATTTTTATGATTTCCTTAATATACGTTCTACCACCCTCGAACATCTCCTCTTAATTTCCTCTATAACTTAGAGTTAATTTGTTAACTCCAATGGTAGGTCATTGCTGATAATATTTGGCTGACGAATCTAATGTATCTTAGGTATATAAATACTCGTACTTGATGATGGTTATTGTAACTCTCCAAGTTTCAGCTCTATATCACAGAACCGTGTTAACGTTTGTATTGAAGATTCTGATTTTCAAGTTAAATGACAGTTGTTTCGAGTTGCAGATGTTCTTCAATTGTACAAATGCTGCTCTTGCTTTGCCAATCCTTGTCTCCACATCTTTATCAAATCCTCCTTGTTTATCGATTATGCTGTCCAGGTATGTGAAAGATTCGACATCTTCTAGAGCTCCTCCATCAATTGTGATTGAGTTGATGTTCTCCACATTGTATTCGAGGATCTTGGTTTTTCTCTTGTGTATGTGGAGGCTTACTGCTATAGAGGTGACTGCTACATTGGTTGTTTTCATCTTCATTTGTTGGCGTGTATCAGATAGAAGTGCTAGGTAATCTATGAAGTACAAATTGTCAAGTTGCGTGGAAGCTGTAAATTGTATTCCGAATTTCTCCTCAAATGTGAAGGCTTTTATAATCCAATCGATCATAAGAAAAAAGAGAAATGGTGAGAGTAGACAGCCTTATTCGACACCAGTGTTCACTTGGGATGTATCTGTAAGCTGTCCTTCATTCACAAAGTTGCAGTATAGTTCGTCTTACGAAATCTATATGATGTTGACGATTTTCTCATGTACACCTTGTGTCAAACGTTTCCTCATAGTCAAGGAATTTGATGTATTATGATGATTTCCATTCAATTGATTACTCAACTATCATCCGCAGTGTCACGATTTGGTCTATGCACGACTTATCCTTACAGAATCTGGTCTTTAGATCTCTAAGCTAGTCCCAGATGTTCAGTTCAGTTTAATTACCAACTTCCAATGTTTTGGATTAGAATTTCCACATAAATGTTAATAATCACCTTTTGAATCAAAGCATCCAGCTCAGAGTACAAAACTCCATCAAAAAGATTACTGGTATAATAGTCCTACAAAGTTTGTCTAACTTCAACTCACCGAGTGTATTTTAATATATTCATCAATAATATAAAAACATGAAGATTATAGGATCATATTGTTGTGCTTCCGAATAGATCTATCGGAAGGTAATTTTCAGAGTTCTAATGTGAAGCTGAAACGAATGGAGGCTAACCATGTGAGATGTGGGGAAAGTGCTCAATGAACATTATAAAAGATGATCACACATTATCATGGATTAGTTGATGTTAGACTTGTATAACATCGGATGTTGGCTCAATAATCTCAAGATTAAGCTTTCTTGCCTGAGACCATAAGTCCTAGATTTGATTCTAGTGTCAAATACAAGTACAGCTCGTAGCGTTTGATGACTTTGTTTTTTGTTAATATGATGTAATGTTGTTAACTTACTTCATTTAAGCCGATTGCCACAAAACCTATGTGTAACAGATATATTAGGAGTACATTATTAACAGAAATCATTTCAAGCAAAGATGAATGATAGCTAGCAGTGGAAATCAAGACGAGCGTTTCATCCTATTTGAGAGCGGTCAGATGGATGTACATGTGCATACCACAGTTGATATTCACTATGGGGCTCAAAATCAATATCGTTCACTTCAAACGCCATCACATTTTCCACTTAGCTACCCCATTGCTTGTTCATTAGGCTGAAGTTTAAATTCACTTGGTATTGTCCACTCGAATCTTCTCATTGATGTTTAAGACTACAATTGATCAATGTCTTATTGGTATATGTGCATGCTGCGGGTATTTCCTCGAGATGCGGGCAATTCAAGCTGATAAGTCCCAAATAAGACGAAACACTCGTCCTAGATTCCATTGTAAGCTACTATTCATCTTTGCTCAGAATGTTTGTGAATTAAGGCAATATGTACAGGACACACATATGCCGAAGTTTAAAAATTTCATTTTTCTGAATAAGGATAATTTGGAGAGTAAACAAAAGATTTAATCAGATGTAGTCTGTTGTTTGCATTCCTGAAGAGCTCAACAATGTATAATATGTACAAATGCAGTTATGCTGCATCCCGCATGCAAACACATGCAAAGCTCATTTCACCATGTCATATAAACTAATGCATATTTCATTCAAGCTGAATATCAATTTGCATGCATCATACCAATACCTATGAAATAAATTCATAGTAATTTAATATTCTGTATAGGGTATAGAGATTAATAAGTTTTTGATTGAGATCGTGAAACGGTTGATGTTAAACCACCATTGAAAACCCGAAAGCACTGAACAGCCGTTTCGTCCTACTATCGAACTCCTCAGCAGTGCGCATCCACGATCCCGCTCGCGGGTTCGAACCCAGGACTTATCGACCTCGCACGCGAACAATTAAAATCTAGACCACCGAGCCAGCACCCAATGGTGTTAATATCCAGAAGTTGATCATTCGCGCGTGAGATCGATAGGTCCTGGGTTCGAATCCCGTGAGCGAATCATAGATGCGCACTGCTGAGGAGTTCGGTAGTAGGACGAAATGGCAGTCCAGTGCTTTCAGGTTTTCAATGGTGTTCTGATATCCATAGATTCATGATCTCAATCGAAAAAAACAATTTAATGTTCTAACAGTTAGAAACAATTCTGTCCAACTTATATAAGAATCATTGTTTGATTCAATTTCAATTTCAACTTTTACGTATTTATATGTAATTGTATTAGCATTTATGGGGTGCTTGCATACAGCATACAAATCACTTCTTTTTAATGATCGTGAAAGCCATTGTAATGTCTATCACTTGCGTAATATAAAACAAATTTAATGAAACTGAGCTTTTTGTCGGCTTTTCATCTGAAGAAAATGCAAATAGAGATCATAGACCGATAAAATTTCGACCACCATTGAAAACTTGGGAGCACTGAATAGCCGTTTCGACCTGGTAAGGAAACTGTCGGCAGTGCGGACCTATGATCTCGAATCAAAGGGAATCGAACCTAAGAGCTTCGGTGTCACTCGCGACCTCTTAACTTCTAGCTTATTTTCTAGTGACTAGCTTCGAGAAGTAACTCTCGGAGTTTTAGTGAGAAGACGTGATCAATGAACTTCAGCCATGTTGGGTGTGAGACAGGAGTGAATCCACCTCGACGATAGGGAACACTAATTTTACGGACCTCAATTAGGCAGTCCGAACCTAATAACACGCTTTAATCCAATCGCCAATGTTTTTATAAATTGGTGCCACGTTTTAGTCTGACCACCCCTAACTTTTTTCAGACCGACATCGACTCTCGAGGTAGATAGTGGTTGAGTATGCATGATACATGTCCCAAACACCTTAAATGATGAAGATTTACTGTCTCATAAACCGACTTTTCATCCAATCGGGCCTTCTGAATTTGTACTGAGATTTCGTCGGATATCAGATAATCAAGACTGATAAGATTCCCAACACAAGTGAATGGTTCGGTGCGTTCAACTAATTCACTCCTTATCATTAATTGAGTTGTTAACACAAACCAAAGGATCTTATCTCAAATATGTTCGTATTTTTGCTTTAGGCAGTTACAAGACTGCATATTTTCTGCGTTTTCACCAGAAACTAAGAAGTGGATCATCTAGGTATCCAAAGTCAGCAAAAGAATCGCTCATTAGAAGATTTCGAATCTACACTTAAATATTAAAAATAGTCAAGCAGTATTTAAATAATCAATCCGAAAAGTCTTTAAAGTAACTCATTTTTGTAGAAATTACCTAAGAGATTCAAAATATTCTGGAAAATTCTTGAAGTTTTCACCGAACTTTAATGGTGACTCAAGAAATTGTTTAGACTTCATTTTACTTAGCATAGATGATTAATAAGTTAGACACATTTAGATTGTAGTCATAGTAGTCATATAATAACACACAATTTCTTTGCTTAGTAATAACATGGTGGTTGCAGGTAGTTAATAGGTGTCCCCGGACCCGGTTATGAAGCTGAGTGACACGGGATCGAATCAGTTCCTTCAAGATTACAGGTACACTTTGCTGACGAGTGCCAAATAGCATGAAATCTAGACTCAGGGTTTCCTGTTGACTACTTCCAATCACCATCTTATCTCAACATAGTGCATGCAATGTCGAGTTACATAGACTAGTAGCCACATTACAGCTTGTTC